TGCTGTTGAGACAGAGGACTCAAAATTTGTGCAGGAGTTGGGGAGGAGGATCAGAGATGCAGAGAAGGGTGCTCAAAGTCAGTTGGCGGAGAGATTTCCAGTTGAGTGCAAAAGGGATGAAGAGACAGGCAGGGTGCGCATCAAGGATTCTGGAAATTTGGCTGAACACAAGGAAAAGAACAAAGAGAAAGGATTTGTTACCAATAAGATGGATGGGCAAGCATTCAGGGATGAACTTAAAATTGGAGCTAATGCAATACCTCTCAGCCTTTCTACAATGGCAAAAAGCAAATTTGAAGGAGTCCCCAGACCATTGGAAGAAAATGTTGAGAAGACAAGAGAGGAAAAACAGAAACCTAAAGAAAGACGTTATGACAAACCAAGAGAGAAAAACAAGGATAAAGATAGGGAAAAGAAAAGTCATGGAAAGCAAAAAGACAAGGAAAAAGAGAAGAAAAAGGAAGAGAAGGCGAAGGACAAAAGTGAACACAAGAAAAGCCAGGAGGATAAATCAAGAGACATCAATAAGAATGGCTTTATTGGTCTTAATAACAATAAACTTCCTCTTATATCCAAGGAAAACATTGCTGGTACAGTCAACGTGGGAGTTGTCAGAAAGAGGAAGGATGTTGAAACTAATGGTTTCCTGCATGGTGAGTTAAAAAAAACTATTACCAGCCTGCTATTTTCTGTTGTATTGACTTTACATCCTACCCTGCGGATGCGTCAAAGCTATGCGAGTTATGTATCTGAATTAGATTGCCTTGATAGAGTTCTTATGATTTTGGGTGTAGTAGTCTGTTAGGGAATTTGTAGCCACCATATTTGATGTATTTCTAATGCAAGTTGCTTGAACTTAGACAAGCGTGTTCAGCTCTATTTAACTTTTTGGTTTGGCTGATTAGTGTTGCTTTTCTGTTCTGCTGTACAGAGAGTGAACTCAGGCATGCTAAATTGCTGCGGCCATCATCCTCTCAGCAGCCGACACAGAATGGAAAAAAATTTGACACTCACCCAAAAGCAGACCTGTTCTCCTCCAGTAAACAGGAAGTTGCTACTGATATTAAAGTGGAAAACAAGAAGCACAAGGTGAATGGTGGTATAGAAGGCCAGCCATTATGCAGTGCTGAGGCAAAGGCTTCATCCATCATTCCTGGTGCTGAGGATCAAATAGCTGAAGCGTCTAAAAGACCTCCTCATCCCGATTCCAAGTATCTAAGCCAGATACTCGCAGTTCCCAAGGTGGACGATTGGTCTGGGTTTGATGACCAGGAATGGTTGTTAAGCGAAAGAACTCCGGCTAAGAAAACTGAGACGTGTCCAGATGAAGTCAATAAGGAACATTGGGTGTGGTCTGAAGCTTTGCAAATAGAGGCTGCTGATGTTTGTGCTCTGCCATATGTTATACCTTATTGAATGCTATTAACATGATCTGACATGATGAGTTTCCAAGGACGAAGCTCTGTCAGCTGTGCAGGAGCAAGCACATCTGGCTTCTAGAGGCCCGTACTCGGTTTTGATTGGATTCTTTCTCACCCCTCTAGCCCTGATGGTCTTGCTGGTGGCAGTTTGTTCTGACATTGATACAAAAATCTTGGTCGGGGCTTCTTCCTATACATTGGAAGAATCTGTCGGGTCTTTACATATCAATAAGTTGATTGTTTTGCTCCTGTAACTTCCCAAAGGAAAAAAGATCTTCGAGAATTATCAATCACCACGACTGTACGTTGCAGTAGCTTAGACGGAGGGGCAACATATTGCCATATATCTGATAACTCCACAGATGGAACGGCGGGATAGTGTGTCTAGGAAGATGCATAAGCTTCTGCAAGTTTATTCTATTTGCTTAAAAGCTTAGATGCTCTTTCTAATTGAGTGTAAAAGAACTAGCTTTTGTGGTCTTTACAACTCCACAATTTTGATTTGTAACATAGTATTACTATAGTTGTAAGATAGATGGGATAAAAAGCACAAACAAAAGAAAAGAGGTAGTTGCATTCATTTGATTCACTGAGATGTAAGGTCTTGTTTATAGTTGATTTCCACTATCTAAAAAATTAATCATTCAACATCAGAATTCAAGTTAATTAGACTAAAATTATGGGATGTATGTTAGAGGTAGGCCATCTCTTGTTTAGTTTTTCTTTTAGTATAAAAAATTAGTTCATGAAATATATATATATATATCTTAGTTTTATATGGGAAGAGAATACGTTGTGTGTACAATTTTGTATTTAGAGACTAGTAGTCTTGCTCAAACCTTTGTTGCCCGAGTTATATAGTTGATGCGAGATGAAGGTTTAAGCTATTGTTGTCGGGGATTTTTTTTTAGAAATAGCCAGATTTGAAAAATAGTCACAATTTTAAAAGTAATCGAAAATTAGCCATTTTTCATATAAAAATAGAATCTGAACAAAAACACTCCTAAAAATCTGGAAAAATTTCAGCATAATATGCTAGCATAATGTGCTAGAATTTCATAATATGCTGGAGTTCCAACATAATAAGCTGGAAGTTTATACGCATGAGCTTCATAATTTAGTATATTATGCTGGAGTTATTTGTATGTTAGAGTTCCAACATAATATGCTGGAAGTTTATGCGCAGGAGCTCCATAATCCAGGATATTATGCTGGAACTTTTCATGTTTTAGCAAAATAGTAGCTATTTTTCGTAAAAATTGCTTGGGGCGCCCTATTTGGTCGCCCCTTACCTGTAGCCGCTTTGTTTTTCTGTCTTCACCTGTACCCGTTTTTTTGTTAAAAGCCTTTTAAAAAGACTATTTTGCCCTTCTTTATTAAAAGACTTCTTTCTCTCCAAGTATACGTTAGTCCTCTACTGTCTCTGTCTCTGTCTCTCTCTCTCCCGTTATTCGTATTTTTTGATTTGTTCTTCTCTGAAATCAAACGGTTTTCGTCGTTGTTTTTTATTTTTCAACTGTTTGTTCCCCAATAACATTACGTATAATCACATGCATTAACTTTCTGGGTTTTATTTAGTATTAATTTTTACGATTTAATTTCTGGTTTTGGTTTTGATAGTCATGTATTTATGATAAAATAGTTGCCTAGGGTTTACTTTGATAAGTGCATTAGTTTTACTTTTACGATTGTGTTTTTAGGTTTTTTGAACGTGTGTTTGTGTTTTTGATGAAAATTCTATAAATTCTTCAGTGATTTTTGGAGACGTCGAAATTTTTAAAAATTTTGAGAGTTAAATAGATGATACTATTAAAGTGTGAAGTTTATTATACTTCAATGATACCTTAGTTTTAGGAGCTGAAGTTTTGTTTCGTGTTTTGTATTTTTTGTTATATTTTTTATGAACTTCAGCATTATTTTAGAGTTGACTTTGTGTTTTGTTTTTTTGTAAAAACTACAACATGTTTTTGCTGAATGTTTTGTTTTGTAACTGGTGAACTTCAGCATTCTAGGAGCTGAAGCTTTTATTTTGTATTTGCTGAACTTCAGCATTTATGAGCTGAAGTTTTTGTTTTATATTTGCTAAACTTTAGCTCTAAGAAGAGCTGAAGTTTTAACTGATTTTTTTGATAATGTTCTGATGTTATTTTTTGTATCTCTTACTTTTTTTTTTGAACAGATGGCATCTACAAAATCCAAATCACCTACAAATCCTAAAGCACCTAAAGATCCTAAAGTAGCTAAAGCAGCTAATGCATCTAAAGATCCTAAAGCACCTAAACAACGTATAATATCCACATGTCCTTCAGTCCATGCTGCTCCACCTACGAAACCAGGGGATAGATATTATGAGTTTGGAGATTGGTTTAACTGTCGTGGTTACTAGAAGGGGAACCACGATTTGAAGAGTTTAATTGCAAGTTTCTTGACTCATGCACAACAGGATAAGCTTAATAATGGTACATTTCGATACATTATGGCTATGGAGAATTTCAAATACATCATGAAGTTGGTTCATTGTTTGTGTCTTTCTCGAATATTCACCAATGATCGAGACTCCATTAGTTTCAAGATTTTTGGTCATGATGTACCCTTCACCCTTGAAGACTTTCACATTATGTGCGGTTTATGGATTACAACACATAATATTGAAAAGCCAATTAATCGAGAGAGCATTATTCTGAAGCACTATTTTGGGAAGTCTAAGGGTGTGACCTTGAAGGATATTCGAGAGTTTATGACTCAGAATGCAATTCAAAAGAATGATGTGAATTTCAAACACTTATGCGAGAGTGATGAAGATGCTGTGAAACTTATGGAAACCTTGTTGTGGAGTCTATTTTGTTTGGAAAAAAGACTGAATCATCTGTGCTGGAGGAGTATGCAGCTATTGTTGAAGATGATAAAGCTTGTGCTGAATATCCTTGGGGTAATATGTGTTATGAGAAGCTCATTACCTCACTGAAACATGCATTGGACAAGCAGAATAAATTTCATTCAACTGAATATAAAGTTGGTGGATTTCCATTTCCGTTATGTGCTTGGTTCTATGAGCGCTTCTCAGATATTCGGGAGAAGTATTTAAGAGAGGATGAGTACCTTGATACCCCTCAGATTCCTAGGATGTTACGTTATGTATGTGTGGGAGAGCCTAAATATAACGAACTTTATGAGGATTACTTCAGTAATCATGCTGTAAGTTAATGTTTTTTTTATTTTTGTCTTTGTGTTTGTATGTTGACGTATTAGTTTTATCACGTCCTCTTACTTCCTTAGGCAACAAATCGTGCCTAAGTATTTTATATAGTGGAGATTCTTTCAACTTTCTCCTCACTCTTTTTCTTGATTTCTTAGAAACACTAGAAGTTTCAGCAATTTCTTCAATTGTATCTAATGTTGTCGGTATAATTTCCATGTTTACTTCATCTTCGTTGTTGCTTATCATCGCAGAAGGTAACAAATTTTTTTATTGGATTGTGTGTTAGTTGTCAATTTGCATTATTAGTTGTCCTTCTTCTTCTTCTTAATCATAGACAAACTGGTATGAATTTATTGGAGGAGCGGGTAATTGTTGCAGCATTATATATTCTGAAGTAGCTGTAATGTTAGAAGGTTATCCATTATTGGTTGTCCTAGTTCATGTTGATAATCAACAAACGGTTCTGAATCTATTATATATGCAAGAGATTGTTTGAATGCTGTAGATTCTGAATGTTGTATTTTTTTGACGACAAAATGGCAATTCTTATAGGCTGAATCAGTTGTAAGCAAATGTATACATGTACTGAGTTCTTCATCTGAAGTTACAAGCATTCCTTTGCTTGTATTTAGTTTGATATCAAACCATATCTTTAGTGAATATCTGCTTGAATCAATATTTGTAACTTCACTAATGTTCTTCACGAAAGTATTGAATGATACTTGTTTATTAAGCAGAACAAGTTTTGTATCATGATCCAAGTATTTGAAATCAAGAGTCCACCTCCCATTGAAAGTAATAACAATGCAAATCGAACTCATCCTGCAGAAGCATGTTTAGTGTCAAGTATTAGGAAATTGAACAGAAGAATTTAATTATGAAGTTCATAAAAAATGTAAGCACATTGAAGCTGAAGTTTGGGCAAATGTACTAGAACTTTCAGCTTGTTTATAATGAAATTTTCAAAAAAAAAAAGCTCATGAAGAAGCTGATTAATGCAGGACAAGACTTAAGCATAAACTAAATTTAACTTCAGCATGCAGGAGAAAATTTTATAGTGCAGGAGGAACTTTTAAGTGGTTTGTCCTGGAGTTTTTATAAATAAACTAAACAACCTTAGCATCTGCTATTGAAGTTTTTGTTAAAACTTCTGCTTTTTAGGCTGAAGTTTTGGTTAAAAGTCATAATAAAAGTATCGACTGTAGGACAAAAACTTCAGCTTATTTAGTGCTGAAGTTTTTACAAATGAACTAAATCACTTCAGCATCTTTTGCTGAAATTTTTGAAAAAGTTGTATGACAAAATTAATGAATCCAGGACAAAAATTTCAGCTCATTAAGTGTTGAAGTTTTTACAAATGAACTAAATCACTTCAGCATCTTCTGTTGAAGTTTTTGAAAAAGTTGTATGACAAAATTAATGAATCCAGGAAAAAAAGTTCAGCTTATTAAGTGCTGAAGGTTTTAGAAATGAACTAAATAACTTCAGCATATTCGGCTGAAGTTTTTGAAAAAGGTGTATGACAAAATTAATGAATCCAGGACAAAAACTTCAGCTTATTAAGTGCTGAAGTTTTTAGAAATGAACTAAATAATTTCAGCATATTCGGCTGAAGTTTTAGCAAATGACCTAAATAAACATCAACATGTTTCAACATGAAGTTTTAGAGTGCATTAATTGTATAGTATACATGAGTAAACGTAAAAAACACAATTAAAGTAGTAATTATTTTGCATTGGGATATGTGTTAGTGTAACAATTACATTCCTATCACATTCATGCACGCTTTTCATTAGACGTTTAAAATTTCTCTATGCCTTTTCATATACCTTGCATAAATTTTTTTCGCCTATATAAGTACTCTATGCCTTGTAGGTTTATTCACTCATACACATATATTTTAGTAGATAAATACAAAAGGGAGAAAAACGGATGTTGTCATCAGACAAATAGTTGACAAAATTAAGCAAGACATCATAGAGGCGTTCGAGGTGAAGCTGGATGAGCTGATCGACAAGTACGACAGGGAGCTGGAAGAAATCAACAACAAACTTGATAGGCTTGACAAGCTGGCCAAATTTGATAGTCTTGGTGATGAAGACGCTCGTCCATCTGACAGTGACGACGATGATGATATGGACGATTAATTTTTTTTTTTGGATAATTTTTTTTAGTTAAAAGGGTTATTATGTTATTTCCTTTTTATGAAATTTTAATTTATCTTTTATTTTATTAAATGAAAAATTATGTTTCTGTTTTAATGTTTTTGTGCATTTTTTTAAAATATTAATTATCTTTAAACTCGAAAAATAACAGAGGAAATGAACTAAATAACTTCACCAGGAATTAACAAAAACTCATCCGAAAATTACATATTGCAGGACAAAATATTAAGCATGTTTTAGTAAATGAACTAAAAAACTTCAGCATATTAAAAATGTTTTACATATTCCGAAAAACTTAAGCATATTTTGGTATGAAGTTTTACCAAAAAATCATAATAAAATTACATAGTGCAGGAGGAAAACTTCATCTCGTTTTCCTGAAGTTTTTAAAGATGAACTAAACAACTTTGGCATCCTATGCTGAAGTTTTTGTGCAATATGTAATTTTAATTTATGTTTTATTTTTACCCAGTGTAGAAGAAAAACTTCAGCTCGTTTTCCTGAAGTTTTTAAAGATGAACTAAACAACTTCAATATCTTTTGCTGAAGTTTTTGAAAAAGCTTTACGACAAAACTATTGAATCCAGAATAAGAACTTCAGCTTATTTAGTCCTGAAGTTTTTACATATGAGCTAAATAACTTCAGCTTGATTACACTACACGACAAATACTTCAACATTTTTGGTGTCAAGTTTTACCAAATTATGAAACTCAACTTGTTTAGCAAATAAACTAAAAACTTAAGCATATTATGCAGTGGAAAGCTTCAGCATATTTGAATTTTTAGTTTTGACATTAAATTAGCTTTAAAGTGAAGAATCTTTTGCTTCACTTTAGAATTCAACGTGAAACAGATTTAGAATGCAAATTCGTTCGTCAGTGAAATCTATCAGTGAAAAGTTCATGCAAATTCATCCGTCAAACAACTTCATACAAATAATTATAGAAAAATATATCATGAAATCAATAAGTTTCAAAAACTATTTTGAATTCTTAAGATGAATTGGAATACTTACAATGTATTTTGTAATTTTGAATTTGGAATTTGAATCTAGTTCAAATTTCTGGTTTCCGAGAGGCGATCTGAGGAGAGACGGAGTGATGGAGGAGAACCGTAAATTGATTTATGCGTGATGCATCTTTTATATGTTTTGTCAGGGGTATAATGGTCATATTATTACGAATTTTTTGTTAGCTGGCTACCAAATCAATAGTTTTTAAAAATAGGGTACAGGTTTAAAGGTGGCATAAATATAAGGTATGACTGCAAATCGCCCCTATTTTTCAATGACTTTATAAAAGCTAAATATTTTTTAATTACCAATCCGAAAATCAGTTCGAAAATTATCTAGCCCGTGCTATTTTAACATGGTTATCCCATGCGATAATAAAAAAAGGCAACGCTTCATTTTTTATTATGAAAGTAGAAATTGCTAACAATCACTATCATATGGCACGCACTTACTGAAATTCAAAGGCCCCCTTCTTAACTTGAGAAGTGGACCACAATCTTGAAGTTTCTTTATTCCTTTTATGCAATTTTCAGAATAAGAAAGGTCCAAAAGAGTTGGCTGAAAACTATAACAAAAATAAGTCCAAGATTTTAAATATAATTCTCAGTCCTTAAGCTAGGCAACAAGTGTACAACTTTCCATCAATCCATATGGAAAAACATCACAGGACAAATTGCAGAAAGCAACATATTTTGGTTATTTTTGGGGAACAAACCAATAACTTAAAAGCAAATTGTGGGTGTCTCTTTCTTGAGTAATTAAATAGGAAGCTATGAGAAACCAAAATAGACCAAGCGCCACATTTTGTGATGTGGTCTTTATTTATAGAAAATAATATGCCTTACAGCTGAACACTAGACTGAGTCATACAAGATGATAATGAAAATGACCAAGAATTGACTTCATGAATTGACATCTTCCTTACTCTCAATTCATCATCATCAACAACAACCCAATAAAATCGCACAAGTGGAATCTATAAAGAGCAGAGTGTACGCACACCTTACCTTACCCCGAGGGAGTAGAGAGACTGTCTTCGATAGACCCTTGGTTCAATGCTTACTCCCAATTCATCATCTCCAAGAAATGCTATCAGAGGCAAAACCAGAATTTTGAGTTTGTAAGATCTGAATTCAGGAAAAGACAATTTATTGGGTTCTTGATAGTGTTAATTTATAGTATATTTTAATAAATTTTTAGACATAAATACAAGATTTGAGCCAAAGTTGCTCCAATTCCGCTGAACCGGTAAGTAAAACTATAGCTCCGCCCTAGGACCTTTCACACCATCATGTGATTTTACCCAATTCTGAGAGAATTGGTCGACAGTTTCTCTTTCTGGCAAATGAAACACACACACACATCTCTTTCTGGCAAATGAAAGTATCACACACACACATATATATAGCCATCAAGAAGGAAAGCTTGCCAAACTTGCTTAACATAAATAAAATACTGCCTTTTCTGAAGCAGGAGTATATTACTGGAGATGGAATTCTTGATTCACATTACTCTATGTACAAAATGCACTGCCTATTTAGGTGCATTTTCATATACGGTTAGCGCTAAAACGAGAGGAAAAAAGAGAAAAGATCTTATATATACAAAATAATAGGAAAACCTATTGGTTATTATCGATTAAGATGAAGCTTCGTTCCTTTGCCTGCGCATTCGTGCTCCCCATGACATACTGTCGCCAGAGTCCTTGTGCATGCTTCTTCTCTTTAGCTCTGATAGCTGAGACTGCCAACGATTTTTCCACTCGCCTTTCTCCTCCATTGACTATACGCATAAAAAAGGAATCAAATTAGCAGAAGGATAACAACAATTCAAGAACAAAACATGTCATTCGATCGTATTAGCAAACAGAAGTCAATTACATGAATGTGAAAGAAACAGAGTGATTATAAGCAAAAGATTAGCCAACTACTCCTAGCAGTAGTTAAATTAATGTTCTCGAGATGCACGTGGTAAGGATAAAGGTTCAATGAGATAAATAAGGATTAAAAGTAGTTTAGAGATAATGGCACAAGTAGGAAAAAGGGTCAAACAACTCGATCATCAAAGCAATGGAAACTGAGCAAAGAGCATTGCGTTTTAAAGTTTCTTGATGCCAACCAAGTTTACAATGGAAGTCGTTTCGAGTTTGAGGGTAGACAAGAACACAAGAAAGGAGCAAGAAGATGACAGATGGGAAAGCCTTGTTTGGTATTTTAAGAGAAACTAGTTTCAGTCATTCTTCTTGCCTCGGGAATTAGAGAAATGAGTACATTCAAGGAACTTCACACATGAGACACTTATGAAATAATTTAAAAGGTTGAATGTGAAAATAAGAGAACGAAGGTTGATTATGATAGCATAGCACCTTGAAAAAAAAAATAGCTTAGCTTAGGAATGGATATGAACAGAACTTTTAGACGAAAACAGTTGTCTTTAAGATTCCACTAATTGAGGTATAATCTATGAAACATCAGGCTATCTCATACTCAGTCAATGACATATATTATGACAACATTCATGTAGTCCAAATACAGGAAGGCAGTGGGAACGCCAACAATTACAGATGTCAACAGTGACAAAAAATACCAGCATCTAAAACCAAAGAATATTATGAGAAAGGACCAATAACTAAATTCTTTGGATCGGTCAAAAACACTTCTTTCTGTTGTATTGTTCACTCATCTGAGTAGACGAGGCAGACCAATAACTTGATCCCAACAATGATCATGCTAAGAGCATCAAGCATCTAGATATGACAGTTCCACAGTAAGTATTTTCAATATTCCACACTTATCCTTGCACCTTTTTTTTCGAAAAGATCTCAGGACTTAGCCGTATATACTAAGATTCTAGTCAAACAATTCTTATCTTTAGCATGTCAGCCTTTAAGGTGCGAATAACTATGTTTTTATGGATTTAATTTGCATAAATCAGTAGCTTAACGAATTTTTACACTTTCAATATCGTTTAACAGACTATAACATGTAAGGGCTTACCTTTAAATGCATTTTTGTGAAGAAAAATATAACAGTATACGTGGATAAAAATTAAACTCATGTTAGCAAGTCATCCCAAATAGATCTTCATATTTGCCGGATGGATGGTAAAATTCACAAATAGCCACTTTTCAGTCCCTATAACTGAAAAATATTCAATGTCCTGAAATTTCAAATTCTACAAGTGAAACTCCAAGACAATGGCTATTTTTTTAAAGAGAGGCCAAAAAATGGCCACCGAGCTATTTCTATCGGAGGCAGATCCAATATTTAAATTTCCAATATTTAAATTTTAAGAATCCGTTTGGACATAAGAATTTTATTACTTTTTTGCCATAAAATTTTCAATTCTTAGCTGGAAGATGAATTTTATAATTTTTCGAAAATTTGAAACTCCAAAAAAGTTATTTTTCAAAATTTTCACTATAATCACTCACAAAAATTTAAAAATAACCCAAAATTATATTCATGTCCAAGCACAATTCTAATTTTTAAATACCATTTTGACTTGAATTTTTTTTTTCATTTTTTTTGTAATTTTACAATTCTTATGTCCAAACGCCCACTAAGTGTTCTTACCGCGATCTCAAACTAACTAATGTATAATAATAACCAAACCAGATTCCGAGCTAAATATTCTTATACAAAATACAGAGTCTGAACAAAAGTTATTGGATTCAGTGAACTAACCTCATCGCTTTGGTAACGCCTACGAGCAGAGAACGCAAACTGAAGGCCTTTAGCCGTATCTTTATCATACCTATCTCTCATTCTAGGATCCGATAAAGTCTCATACGCCTCCTGAACCCGAATAAATCTCTGCGTATACTCTTCGACCCGATCCGGAGGCGAAACATCCGGGTGGTACTTTCGTGCTAATTGCTTGTACGCTTGTTTAATTTCCAATAAAGTCCCCGTTTCTGGTATACCAAGAAGATCATAAAAACTCCTATTATCGAGCTCAGCATATGAAACGACGTCGTTGAGCTTCGATTTTGCTTTCAAGGAACCAAATTTGGTTCCCAAAACTTGGGATTTTGAGGGGTAGTTTGGGAAATATATACGGGGGTGTAGGGAGGAGGGGGAGATAGAGGGGGGTGGTGGTGAAGAGATCGGGATTAAGCCATAGGAGTTGCAGCACATTTCTCTCAGTTTTGGAATTTTTTTTTCTGTGTTTTTTGGGTGTGGATCTATATTCTTCCGCTTATTAATAAGCAACAGTTTGAGGAGCTTGGGGTCGTCCAAGGGTATTTTTGGAAAACTACAAATATTTTGGCATAAATCACGTCTTAACCCTACTTTACACACTGCTCAAACGAACATATCTCACTGTAATAAGCGACAGTTTGAGGAGCTTGCGCTTGGTTTCTTCCTCAAAATTTCTACCGCTGCTCGCAATTTCCCTTGTTTCTTTTAGTCTTCTCTCTTCCTGGACAGTTTATTCGCCTTGATTGTACAGTATAAGGTGAGTTTTAGTTTTTTGTTTTCTTGATTTTCAGAATAGCTGGTGCATATAAATTGTTTAAGCTGATTAAATTATTAGTGCATCATTCTTTCTCATCCGTCCAGAAAAAACTGGGATATTTGAAGTTGTTGCTGATGTTGTTCTTGAATCATTTGGTGAGTTCAGTCATGTTGGTGTATCTGTTTATGCTTTTAAAGGTGTTGAAATGATTTTACCTTTATGAAGCGATAACTGTAGATTCATAGTTGGATTTAATAGTTAGTGTCATAAAACTGATTAATCGATACTGTTTTCTATTCCTGTTCCTGAAAAGTTTTTCTGTTTTTTGGCTTCTGGTTGCAATGAAAGAGCACAAATCTGTGTTTAGCATCTAAATTTCACAAAGTAATGTTATTGTCTTACAATTTGATGATCTTTAAGCTATAAATAAGCTCAGACGATTGTCAACTTTACAAATTGATTTACTCCGGTGTACACATATTAGATGCGGTAAGAATCACTTAAGTTTTATTACTCTTACCGTAACTTAATAATGGAAATAATTTAATTCTTCCAACAGATTTGGCTAAGGAACAAGCACAAATCTGCATTTGGTGTATAAATTTTATAAAATAATGTCATCGTAATAGTTGCTCTTAACTTACATTTTATCCTATAATCTCTGTATTTGTTGTCATTGTGATCTCTGGAACAATTATTAATGATAATACAGTGAAAATGGTAACAACTTTAGTACTGAACTATTTAAACTTACAATGATAATGAAAAAAAATTACTACAAATCATTGAAAAATCTAATAGACAAAAACAAACACATTTTTGTCTTCAACTTTTTGGGTAAAAGAGTAGATAAAAAGGAGAAAATGTTTAAAGAAAGGTGAGATTTTAACGAGATCTGAAGATTAACGAAAGAAAAGATGAGATTTGAGAAAACATGCAAAAATGAAGTGTAAATAAGTAGTAATAAAAACAAATTGCCTGAAGAAGGGAAAGAATCAGTCCAAGAAGTTTCGTGAAAGAGATTAAAAGGCAAAGATGAAGGCATGAGATTGAGCTGATGATGTAAAGGATTATTGGTTGTACTATTCTTGTTATTATTTGAAAAATTGAGGCTAAGACTCAAGCACAAATCTTCTTTCTCAACCATCATTTTCTTTTCTTCTCAAATCCTTGTGATTTGTCTTTAATTTTTCTTCAATAGTTTCTTGAGAAATAAGGATTTTCAGGTTTTCAGATGAGAATTAATTTTGGGGGGGGGTGGGGGTCCTACAGATATTTTGTTTAAACAAAGGAGAACCAAAACTCTGCTACTGCTTTGTTACACCAATGACAAAGCTGGTTGTATGCTTTTGCCTTATTTGACTCTAATGTACATTTCTCTTCAGCGTTTTGCGAATTATGTAGAGTACAATATGTATGAAGCTTATTGTTCGTATTAAGTATATCTTAATAGCAGATGATCAATTAATGACAATCTGAGTTAAGTTTTTTTGGCCAACAATCTTTGGGTTATGTTGTGCCAATAGAATGGCTGACTCTTACGATTTTGCCTTATTTGGGCTCTAATGTAGAATTTTTTCCACCGTTCAGAAAAATCTGCTTCGCTGCTCTCCATCGTTCTTGGTATAATATTCGTGTAAACTTCTATTGAAAAAAGGTGCAGCCTTGAAATTACATGCCTTTGCTCTTTATGTTTTGCTGTCATGTATTAGTATACTAAATGTTATCTGTTGTTCCCTTTTAAATATTTGTAGAAAATAATATACACCAATGTTCATGTATGGTTGTTTGTCTTTGTTTCAAACTAATAAAAAAAATTAATTTTATTGTAGGTTGCAAACATGTCTTCCAACTGTGATAATATCTTGACTTAACTTTGTATATCTATTAATAAACTGGGAATAAATCAAAACATAGCAGAGAAAATATTATATTTCTATTATCTATTATATAGAAGAGTGAAGATGGTTGACCAGGGGCAAAATTGACATTTTACATCTCAATTATCATTTTGCTCAGTCATGTACTTTAAACGTGCTCATTCTAGGTTTTCTATTTCAACACCAAGTTTAGAAGCATCACTCTTTCAAAAATAATTTTGCTCAATTCATCTTCTACTTCTGTTATGATTTCAATTTACTGGCTATTCTTGCTCAATCTTCTTTTTTTTTTCTCTCTACAATCTTTTTTCTTTCTTTTATATTTTGAGATTTCTTAATAGTTACCAATTTCATGGAGGAATGTTTTTGACTGCTATTGTTTTATGGTGTTTTATGGAGTCAGAACAAACTATCAGCATCTCTGTTAATTTTTTAATGATGGAAGGAGTTTTGATTTAACTATTTGGACTTATAATTAACGCTGATGCATATATTTATGATGACTTACAACTAAGTGTTCCATATTTGATTTTTTTTCCTTTCTTTCTTCGAATTCCATATATTATATTTGCACCGCTAATTGCAATAGAAATTTTCGATGTTTATTCTAGAGTTACTTGTGCATTTAGCTCTTTTCTTACCTGATTGTACCTATGCATGTTTTATTTTGAATATCTTGTGCCAAATTTCCTGGTTCTGTCTAGACGGCCTCAAAGATGTTTTCTGAGAGGTTGTAATATTTTAGAAATCTGAGTGATCTACAATGAGGTATTGTTCTTGAGATTTTTCCCTTTCATCCTTCGTCCTCCATCACCGCTAGCCTCAATGGAAAAAATAAAATTTATTAAAAACAATTGTAATATTTCTTACGCTTTTGGCTCTTTTTTAAACGGAGTTTGCACATGCTTGTGCTCATTAACCATTTTATGCCAGCAAAGTATACTGGAACTCCAGTATATTATACTGGAGCCAGCAATGTACAGCATAATATGCTGGAAGTTCATACACAGGTGCACCGAACTCCAGTATGTTATGCTGTACCGATCTCTGTTGCAGCAAAATAGTGGCTATAATTTTCAGTGTTTTTTAATTTATTTAGTTGAAAATATATACAATTAACTGTAAGTAATGGAATTTGCTAGAAAAGAGGCGATAAAATTGGGATGATTGAGTGTTTTTTGGCCGAAAAATCTATATATTAATACATCTATTTTAATTGAAATAAGTTGCCAATTGTCTTATTAATAGGTTACCNATATATATATATATATATATATATATAGATGATGGTATGAACAAATTAGTACAAATTCCTGTAGAAACGAAAACAAAAACCCAAAGCCTCCGACCTAATATTATTGGGCTTAGAGCCCGTTTGGATTTAGATGATTTGAAGTAACTGATAAGTATTAGGTGCTGAAAAGCACTTTTAAGTACTAAAACTGTTTAATAAATAAGCAGTTACTTGTTTGGGTACGTGTGCTGAAATTAATAATAAGTTGCTGCAGTATTTGATAAAAAAATGTTGATAAGCTATTTTTCTGTTAAAAATGACTTAAATAACCTTAGAACTGTTTACACTTATAAGGGCGTAATTTCTTCAAAATTTTAGATTTAAGATTGATTCAAATACAAAATATTCAATTTGTCATTTTATTTTAAATATAACTGTGCTTAGATAAGATAATTTTTATGATAAATATAATTTATTTTATGATAAGCATATAATCATAAGTTATAATAATTAATAAATTGACAAGTTTTTTGGTAAAAAATAAACATAAAAATAGGACAAATTATTTGAAGAGAAACAAACATTGTCTTCATCACCAGAACACTTAGAAATCAATACACCAAGAATTTGATATGTACTCATATATTACATACAATTCAAAGATATAAATATTAATACACAATCACATAGATATGAATATGCAAAGGAACAGAACATTTACTTATCTTACATAGTCAATGAGAATTGCAGACTTGAAGAGGTGAGGAGGGGGGTAGGTTAAATACTTGAGGCAGTGAGTATCGATATTTTGGTCAAACTTAAAGTGCTTATAAGCTAGCAATTCATAAGCTGGGCATGACCACCTTATGACTTTTGGCTTATTTTTTTTACTTATAAGCACTTTTAACTTTACCAAACGCGTAAATAAGCCGAAAAGTGCTTATAAGCTAGCAATTCATAAGCTGGGCATGACCACCTTATGACTTTTGGCTTATTTTTTTTACTTATAAGCACTTTTAACTTTACCAAACGCGTAAATAAGCCGAAAAGTGCTTATAAGCTAGTTTGACCAGCTTATACGCTTGGCCAAACACCATCTTAATCTCACCCTTTTCTTTCTTATAGCCTGTTTGGCCAAGCTTCTTTTTGGCCAAAAGTGTTTTTTTTGGACCAAAAGCACTTTTGACCAAAAATTGAGGTGTTTGGCCAAGCTTTTAGATGGAAAAAAAGTACTTTTGAGGAGAAGCAAAAATATTTTTGGAGAAGCAAAAAAAAGTAGCTTCTCTCCAAACAGGCTAAATTTCCTTAGGTATAATAACAACGGAAAATGGTTCAAAATCTCCTTAAACTATTGGAAAAGGGTTTAAAAATACCTTCATCCACGTAATGGGCTAAAACATTGACGGTTAAGTTAATGTTGAATTAAAAATAATTATTATTCTTTTTGTAAAACTTAAAAACAATTACAAAATATTTTCATTTTGTTAAACTAATGCACCAGTAGACCATTAATTTAGTAAAGTATTCTTTTATTTTTTTCAGTTAAAAAAAACAATTCAGTTTTAAAAATATTTTTTTCCATTTTTTAAAGCATTTTTTTTTTGTAAAAAATTGTAAAAATTGATTTTTTTCTTTTGTTTTTAACAAAAAAAATTCGTTTTTTAAAAACTAAAAAAGATTTTTTCAACAAAATATTTTCATCTTTGACAAATATTTTTTTCTCATTTTTTTTTTGAAAAAATTGGAAAAACAAATTTGTAAAAACTGATTTTTTTAACAAAATATTTTCGTTTTTTAAAAAGTGGCGCATCTTTTCTTTTTGAACTTTTTATTCGGGTCCGATCAATGTTTGGGACGGGATAATCCAAAAAATGGTTAGATTTAGGTTAGTATTTTTAATAGGTTAGATGTTATAATTTTGACCAATAAGAAATTATCACGTGGAATTTAAATAAGTAATTATTTTTAGTTTAGGGGCATTTGTAGGACTGTAGGAGTATTACTTACTTCCCGTTATTTCTCTCAAAGTCATTCTCAAACCCTCCCTTGCTTCCACCTAGCCAAGCCTCCGCCGTGTCTTCCACCACCAATTTCTGTAAGTTGCTCGTGTTCCATCAAATACTGTTTTTTACATCCTTGTTGTTGTTAAAAGTACTGTTTATAATTACTTTTTGCCTTGCAAAAATCTATCTTTGTCCCAAAAACTTCCGGTCTCTGGCCATTATTAGTTTGCGTTGTGAATATTTTGTAAAAACTTGCGGACTTTGTTCGCCGAGCTGATGGCAATGACATATAAGTTAGGAAAAAAAAGAAAAAGATGAATACTTTTGGCTTTTAAGTTTCAGTAGTTGTTCAAACGATTTTCCGCTAAATTATTTGCTCTTCAATGAACTTCAATACTGTTTATTTTTATTTTTAAAATTTTTGAGTATCTTTGTAGAACGGGGTGTTAAAAGGTGCTTTATGTTGTCGGGTTATTATCTGAGCTTCTATTCGTGGCTTGTGTTTACTTAAAAGTATTTTTTACTGTAATCTTTTATTGTTCTGATTATTGTAGCTTGAACCGGCATTAGAATGGGGTCCATGTTCGACATAGCATGGGAAGCAATCTAGCCATTTAGAATTTATATTTTGCTTTAGCAATCTAGCCATAAGTATTACTAACTGTTTTAAATCCATTTGTGTATATAAATTGAAAAGAGGAGTGCCCCGAATCGTAGCCCAACAACACTATGTTTTTTCTTTAGTCGTTTAAAGCTGATGTAGTGTTGTTGAGACAATTGATGTCATGTTCTGCATGGAATTTGAGAAGTTTCCGCACTAGTTCGAAAACAGTATCTCTAGCTTGAGAACAATATCACTAGCCCGAGCTTTATCAAAAGTCAAATTAGTTTGGGCTCTTTTGCTTAAGCAGAAGAATTATCCAGAGTAGTTTGAAAACAATTAGCCTTCGCCAGCATCCTCATGGAATTTGATGCAGGGCGTCGTGATGTTCCTGCATTTGTTAATTTATCGCCATCTTGCTAGCTTCCTTTTTGCTCCTACTGTTGATACAATCATAATTATTTTAAATTGGGGGAATAATCACATTGAGGGTGACCGAAGTCCTCATTGATGTAGCAGATATTCGGTCACCCTCAATGTGATTATTCCCCCAATTTAAAATAATTATGATTGTATCAACAGTAGGACCAAAAAGGAAGCTAGCAAAGATGGCGATAAATTAATAAATGCAGGAACATCACGATGCCCTGCATCAAATTCCACGAGGATGCTGCTGAAGGCTAATTGTTTTCAAACTACCGTGGATAATTCTTTATTCTTCTGCTTAAGCAAAAAAGCCCAAACTAATTTTGACTTTTGATAAAGCTCGGGCTAATGATATTGTTCTCAAGCTAGTGATACTGTTTTCGAACTAGTGCGGAAACTTCTCAAATTCCACGCATGACATCAATTGTCTTAACAACACTACATCAGCTTTAAACGACTAAAGAAAAAACATAGTGTCGTTGGGCTACGATTTGGGGCACTCATCTTTTCAATTTATATACACAAATGGATTTAAAAGAGTTAGTAATAGTTATGACAACCTAAAGCAAAATATAAACTCTAAATGGCTAGATTGCTTCCCATGCTATGTCGAACATGGACCCCATTCTAATGACAGTTCAAGCTACAATAATAGATTATAGTAAAAAATACTTTTAAGTAAATAGAAGCTTAGATAATAACCCGACAACATAGAACACCTTTTAACACCCTGTTCTACAAAGATACTCAAATTTTTTAAAAAATAAACAGTATTGAAGCTCATTGAAGAGCAAATAATTTAGCGGAAAATCGTTTGAAAAACTACTGAAACTTAAAAGCCAAAAGTATTCTTTTTTTTTCCTAACTTATATGTCATTGCCATCAGCTCGGCGAACAAAGTCCGCAAGTTTTTACAAAATATTCACAACGCAAACTAATAATGGCCAGAGACCGGAAGTTTTTGAGACAAAGCTAGATTTTTGCAAGGCAAAAAGTAATTATAAACAGTACTTTTAACAACAACAAGGATGTAAAAAACACTATTTGATGGAACACGAGCAACTTACTGAAATTGGTGGTGGAAGACACGGCAGAGGCTTGGCGGGGTGGAAGCAAGGGAAGGTTTTGCTTTTTGACGGGAGGGAGAATGACTTTTAGAGAAATAACGGGAAGTAAGTAATACTCCTACAAATGCCCCTAAACTAATAATAATTACTTATTTAAATTCCACGTGATAATTTCTTATTGGTCAAAATTATAACATCTAACCTATTAAAAATACTAACCTAAATCTAACCATTTTTTGGATTATCCCGTCCCATATATTGACCGGACCCGAATAAAAATTTCAAAAAAAAGAAGATGCGCCACTTTTTAAAAAACGAAAAATATTTTGTTAATAAAAATCAGTTTTTACAAATTTGTTTTCCCAATTTTTACAAAAAAAATATTTGTCAAAGATGAAAATATTTTGTTGAAAAAATCTTTTTTAGTTTTTAAAAAACGAATTTTTTTTGTAAAAAACAAAAGAAAAAAAATCAATTTTTAAATTTTTTTCCAGTTTTTACAAAAAAAGATGCTTTAAAAAAATGAAAAAAAATATTTTTAAAACTGAATTGTTTTTTTTTTAACTTAAAAAAATAAAAGTTTACTTTACTAAATTAGTGGTCTACTGGTGCATTAGTTTAAAAAATAAAAATATTTTGTAATTTTTTTTAAGTTTTACAAAAAGAATGATAATTATTTTTAATTCAACATTGACCTAACGGTCAAAGGGCATAAGTGAACCTAAAAATTCGGTGGAGGGGTATTTATACCTAAGGAAATTTAGCCCGTTTGGCCAAACTGCAAAAATCAGCTTATTTTGAGAAGTGCTTTTTTTCAAAAGCACTTTTATCTAAAGTACTTTTGGTGAGAAGCAGTTTGTGTTTGGCTAATTAGTTTGAAAAGCACTTCTGAGCAACAATTAGTGTTTGGCCAAGCTTTAAAAACTGCTTCTAAGTGCATTTTTCTCAAAAGTGCTTCTCAAAAAAGTGCTTTTGGAGAGAAACTACTTTTTTCTGCTTCTCCAAAAATGCTTCTGCTCCTCCTCAAAAGCACTTTTTTCCTTAAAGCTTGGCCAAACACCTCAATTTTTGGTCAAAAGTGCTTTTGGCCAAAAAAAAAACACTTTTGGCCAAAATGAAGCTTGGCCAAACAGGCTATAAGAAAGAAAAGGGTGAGATTAAGAGGGACAGTATCACTAGCTTGAGAACAATATCACTAGCCCGAGCTTTATCAAAAGTCAAAATTAGTTTGGGCTTTTTTGCTTAAGCAGAAGAATAAAGAATTATCCACAGTAGTTTGAATACAATTAGCCTTCGGCAGCATCCTCATGGAATTTGATGCAGGGCGTCGTGATGTTCCTGCATTTATTAATTTATCGCCATCTTTGCTAGCTTCCTTTTTGCTCCTACTGTTGATACAATCATAATTATTTTAATTTGGGGGAATAATCACATTGAGGGTGACCGAAGTCCTCATTGATTTAGCAGATATCCTGAATGGAGATTGATTCAAAGGTACCAGAAGAGGCAGAGGGTTCAATGCAAGTTGACAGTAAGGTAATATTCGTAATTTGGATTACTCTTACAATTCTTCAGAATGACTACTGTACAACAGAAGATGCTAAGCCTTGACTAATATTCTCCTTTTTTTCTTCCTCGATTGTTTGGTCATAGGTTCAGGGGAAGGATGACATATCTAACTCGATGAAAAAGCTTAATATCGAGGGGTCATTCTCCACTTTCAAGAAAAAGCCAGTCATTATCATAGTGGTTGGGATGGCTGGTAAAGTCCTGTTTATTTGGGTTATGGAGTTGATATATATACTATTGGTTAAACACGAACATTGCCAAGCTGTTTGTTGCATTTTATGTTGAAGGGTTGAACTTATAGAACTTGTTTTAATTTGATGACTAGGTAGTGGAAAAACAACATTTCTCCACCGACTTGTTTGCCACACAATGGCATCCAATATGCGGGGTTATGTATTGAACCTTGATCCTGCCGTCTTGACCCTTCCATTCGGTGCAAATATTGATATTAGAGACACTGTTCGATACAAGGAAGTCATGAAGCAATTCAATCTTGGGCCAAATGGAGGAATTCTCACTTCGCTCAACTTGTTTGCCACGAAGTTTGATGAGGTAAAGCTTGATATGATTAGATTTTTTTTATTGAATGCGTGAGAAGAATTTTTCTTTCGTCTTTTTCTTAAACTTACGTGGTCTAGAGAAAGCTTGTTTGTAGTTTCCTTCCTTTTTTATCTTTGTGGTATACCGTCTTCTTTTTCGCTGATCACTTCTTGTGGTAGAAGAGATGGATTGGATGAATTTCTTGATATTAGCTAGCATAAATCATAGTGTATTTGCATTTCAGTCAGCTATTGATTATGGGCCTATATGAATTCAACAGTAAAATTGCTCAAACACTTGGACAATATTTTGTGTCAGTAATCTGAATTACTCCCTCTGTTCCAGTTTATGTGAACCTATTTCCTTTTTGGTCCGTTCCAAAAAGAATGAACCCTTTCTAAATTTGGTATTAATTTAGCTTAAACTTACAACTCTACCCTTAATGAGAAGCTTTTATAACCACACAAATACTTTGGACCCTATTTGGACTTGTTTAGGACCACAAATTTCAAAAGTCTTTATTTTTTTCTTAAACTCCGTGCCCAGTCAAACAGGTTCACATAAATTGGAACGGAGGGAGTACATAATTTCATTCAATTCACTTATCCTATCCATATTTTAATCTTCATGTTCTTGTTAGGCCTGTTGGATTACGAAGTCCAAATTATGTTCAATCATACTCCCTTAGGTTCCAGTTTTCTCCTAAGAAATTTGAAGCTGCTCAACCTAGAATAATCAGCACTTCATTGGCTCTGGTAATCTGTTCCACCTCTTCCCAGTTTGAAACTTGTGGATACATGTGAGGGCACGCTCTTTTGAAGTCCAAAGTGCTGGCTGATTTGATTGGCGTGTTTGTGACTAGTTTTATTTTCTGATTGAGTCAAGGAACTGAAAACTCTCCGGCCTTGTATAAAAAAGGAACCGAAAAGATTACCATTGCTTACCAACCAAAGAAGCACAACTCTTTTTCTATTTCAAAGGCCACAATATTCATATCATATTGTAAACCATTGCACCCTCGCCCATCGAATGAACAAGATCTCTTCACCTTTACTCAGATGTCTGAAGTTCAAGTCCTAAGAATAGAAATATCCTTACAAATTAGATTAACTGAATAAGTGATTTTCGAATGCCGAATACATGAAGAAGAAAAGAATTTCTAAATATGGCACTAGGTGCCGAGGACTTTTAAATCATACAACTCCACCTACCCCCTACAATCCAAAGAGCCACATCTACTTCTGTGACTAGTAAGGTACAAAAGAGTTTTTGCAGCAATAGCTTAGGTGCTTCTTCCACCACCCAAATCAACAAAGAAATATAGTACTGCAGTTTTTGTGTGAAAATACAATCACACATGTTTCATTTTTTAATATGCAAACTAAGTTAACCAACATTGAGTACCTATCCATAAGGAGTATATCTTAAAATATCTGATGAAGATAAACCCCAAATGAAATTTGAGGATATTGGTCTGTCATCGATCTTGGTAACAGCCGTAAAAGAGTTAAGAGCTACCAAATCCAAGTGCATAAAAAAAAACCTTAGAAGAAAGCAATTGCAAATATGAGAAGTAGAAGAAAACAAGAGAGAATATAGAACACAATAAGGATTCTTCAACTATAAGAAGATCTTACCTTTTCTTTCTCTTTTTTGCTGATAAGAAAGATTCAACCTTTTTCAACAGAACCTATTCACTTCCCAAAATACGAGGACTATACAAAAACAACAGTAGTTGTTATCGTCATTCGTAAGCCATGTTAGTTGTGGTTATATTTTTGGTGTAAATCTGAACATTATTTTTTTCTGACATAAAATGGCTTAATATTATTCAGTCACGACTTTTCATAACTAAATATGTGTAAAGTGTTTGAAAAAAATCATAGTAAAACCACTAATTATAATAACATCATATAATATAGTAGTGGAAGAACATGAAAATATTAGTAATACAAATTGCTAGATGGATGTTTGGGTACAAGACATGATCGGGAATTACAAATGACTAGGATGTAAATAATATCTAGCGTACTATCAAAATTAACATGCTTTATTATAGCTTCGTTGTTCAACATATTCTGGAAAACCAACAATAGACTTTGCAAAGATTTCTATCACTTTTCTTGTTCTTTAAACAATGTTGTATGCTGTTGATGGATATTCTAATCATTCTTTAATTCCCTTGATTCAAATTCCACCATCCACTCTAAACAATAATTTGATTTTTGAATTAACTGCAATTTTACAATCTGAAAACAACAATTCTTCTCAATAGCAGCCGTAAAAATATCATTATAAAGAATAAATTAGGTCTTTACAACCTCCAGGTTAACTATATAATAGAAGCAATAAGGAATTACTTCAAGGAAACAACTCAACTGATATTTGTGAATATACTCTTTTTCTTCCAGTTCCTTTCTTGGGCACTGGAACTAAATCCAAGTATTAGTCTCCGTTAGATTACAGTTTAAAAAATTGTTGGACTAGCTTTTGAACTTTTAGAAGTGCTACCTGGTATTCACAAGATACATGGTACAATAACATCTGTAACAGCTTCATAAAGTTGCACCAACCAACTTATGTTGGGGTAGTCTTTGTAGGCAAACTAATGCCACCTCCTTTTATAGAAATATTAGGACTTTTGACTGATTCGAGTCCAGGAAAACAACTACCACTGGGATGTCGTGTGGAATGTCGACAAACTTCACGATCAATTTCAAGTCTGAATACCTCATCTCCCTTTTCTTTGCTGCTTCTTGCAACGCCGTTTTCACTAACCTTCTAGCAATCCCTTGTGTGGCAAACAAGCCTCTTAAGTTTTGATCCAACTGTTTTTTCTACATAAAGGTGTTGAGACATAGATATTTTACTACATCTATCTACACCAAAAAGAAGTCAGAAACTTGGGGAAACACTTGAAAATAATAAAAGCGCAGCTTGGTGCAGTAAGCTTCTGCTATGTGCAAGGTATACAAAGCGCCGGACCACATTAGGTCTACTGTACACAGATTCACTTAGCATTGCATTTCTAGAAGAGGTTGTTTCTACGGCTTGAATCCGTGACCTCCTGGTCACACAGCAGCAAATCTTATCGTTGCACACTGAGGCAAATTTATTATTCATGCATTTGACACAGTGGCAGCACAATTTGATTAAGTGGCTTCTACTGCTCGGCATATGGGTGGAGAGGCCTAATGCACCTCCTGGAAACATTTAATAGAAAATTCCCCACTGTTCCTCAACACTTCTTCTTTTTCTCTTTCCATAACAAACAGGAGATCCCTTGCATATAAGAAACTTAGAGTTAGATGTAATTAATTTTATGCAAAGTGCATCACCTGGTTATTTCAATAAACTCTTATTGTGACCTGTCGTGTATAAAAAATAAGTTAGGATGTCAACCAGTCATTTGAACAGATTAAAAGCCGTCAACAGTCAAACAGTGATTATTCACCTGTATGGGAGATTAATATTCATGCCATTGGTTATTAAGATTTCATTGCTTAAAGGAAATAAACTTTTTTCACGAAAAACAGCTTACGTTGCATGGGTGATTTTGTACAATCTCTTCTGCTCCTTGGTTAGTTAGATGCTTCCAGAGACCATCTGATGCACATATGACAAACTGGTCATCAGGTTGCAAATGGTGCACTGAAATTGTTTGATCTAAGCTCAATATGGGCTTGCCAAATGGTTCTTGAAGACGAAACTTTGCGTAAAATGGCTCCCTGTTGAATTTAGCTTTTTATAATTACACATCACCAATGGATCTTGAAATCTGCAAAATAAAGTATTCAGTCCATTTTAGAGTGCAGATCAAAGTTTTCCGAGTCTGGCAAGAAACAACCATACTAAACAAGCTTCCTAAAGAAAGTACCACCCCATTAATTGACATCAATAGCCTTTTATTAGCATAGCACACAGCTGATTTTGTATTGCTCCTCCCAAAAAATAGAAAAGGTAATAAAGCAAATTAGCAACACTCTGAGAAATTAATCAAGCTCTCTAAGGAGTAGTTGCAGGATCCTTCAAAGTGAGAAACTTGGTGCCATGACGGCAAGTTGGCAAGTTTAATACTAGATGTTGGTTAATCTGAGAAGAGTGGACACTAAAATCTTAAGGACTAAAGCAACACACACCTGCATAACTAGGTTTCTCAAATGAATTTGGAACATTCTTATTGTTTTAGATACTCTCTGCATGAGAAACCCGAGATGCGGAACAACAAAGCTACAGCTGCTGAGCACTGAAGGCGAAAACTCTCCGGATTAGCTTGTCAAGCCTTTTTTTATTTAATTTCCAAGAGTTTCCTTGCAACATGGTGTTGGTATCTCGGAGTATTATTCATGTTTCTAAACCTTGATTTTTGACCCTATCTTGTCTTAACAATAGGTTTGACGGCCAGATGGTAGAAATCTCTTAAGCTCTAAAATAGAGATGCTTCTCTAAAGTTCGCTGAAACATTTCTCCTTAATCTTCCCTTCTTTTAGACTCTCAAGTGGCATTCATCCATCTAAGCCTCCTCTGTAGATAATGTTCTGGGATGACGTCTATATGTATTGTTTATCAGATTTGATGTCTTAAAGAGCATAAGTTAATATTTTTCTGTTGCAAGAATCAGCAACGTCGGTTTTGAAAATATGTGGTGGATAAGATGTGAAAGCAATAAAATCCATATCTGATGTTTGCTCAATTTTCGCTTGTTCTTTTTACCAGGTCTCTCATCATCAATTATTAGAAGAGTAGCTAGCAGGGATTTGAGGGATGAAAAGCTTTACATGCATTTTTTTTTCCTCTAGCTTTGTTTGAGACAACAAGCTCTTCTACTTATTTGCAGGTGATATCAGTCATTGAAAAAAGAGCAGACCAGTTGGACTACGTTCTCGTGGATACTCCTGGACAGATTGAGATATTCACTTGGTCTGCCTCTGGCGCAATCATAACTGAAGCTTTTGCATCTACTTTTCCCACTGTGGTGACATATGTGGTTGATACACCACGGTCTGAAAGTCCAGCTACTTTTATGAGCAATATGCTGTATGCATGTAGCATCCTGTACAAAACAAGGTTGCCATTGGTATTGGCATTCAACAAGACAGATGTGGCTAATCATCAGTTTGCTTTGGAGGTAGTAGAATAAATCCAGACATTTCTGTAATTTTTCCTTGAAAAAGGCTAGGAGTTGGGAGAAAGACAGAGTTGGCTGTCTCCACTATTAGTCCATTTAAGTTTACTATGGAAATTATTCCATTTATGCACCTACTATAAAATGACGTCGTTCAAGAAAACGTATAGGTGGATCAGAAGCTATTACCCCTTTATCTCTAATAGCTGTTATATTGAATCAACGAAACAATTATATTGACAGTTAACGCTGTTTCTGTTGTGTGCTGTATCTCTTGTGACGTAGTTTAAACCAGAGAGTCATGTGTAAAGCTTTACTTATGATGGTTGTCGAGCAATTGCGTGTTTGTTTATCATAGGAGCCATGATCGATCTTTTGAGCTTGTTACATATTCTGTAATGTGGCTATCTCCTGTAAATACTTGCAGCACTTTGCTGCACATTAATATGANGGGGGGAGCAGGAGATGTTTGTGATTGAGTATTGAGTTAAATTCTTACTATTTGGATTCCTCTTACTTTGTGCCTTTATATTCATCAGCTGCTTTTCTGGAATTTTGATTTCTTATGATACAATTTCAAATGCAGTGGATGAAAGATTTTGAGGTGTTCCATGCGGCACTAGATGCTGACAGTTCTTACACATCAACTCTGACTCGAAGCCTCTCTCTTGCACTTGAGGAGTTCTACAAGAATCTCAGATCTGTTGGAGTGTCTGCAGTTTCAGGGGCTGGGATGGAGGACTTTTTCAAGGCAATTGAAGCCAGCGCTGAGGAGTACATGGAAACTTACAAGTATTAACTGAAACTTAATTTTATATCTCTTGAAATAACACTGATAACTTGAAATGCTTATCGGATGCTCAAAAGTTATCATGTCCCCTTTCTTATTGTTGCAAAAATTTCCTTTTAGGGCTGACTTGGACAAGAGACGGGAGGAGAAGCAACAATTAGAGGAAAGACGCAGAAGGGAGAATATGGAAAAGCTGAGAAAAGATATGGAGAAAACCGGAGGACAAACTGTAGTACTGAACACTGGTTTGAAGGATGGAGAAGATAAGGGCAAGGCTATGATGGATGCCGAGGATGAAGAGGAAGAAGAAGATGATGACATCAAGATTTTTAGTGAGGATGATAACGGTGACATAGACGAGGACGAAGATGAAGAAGTTGCTGGCTTTTCATTTTAAGATTGTACATGGTGTCTTTTGTGAAACACTACCTGTATAGGACTGATCAAAGTGCTAAACCCAAAACTGAGGGACACAATCGAATTCACTTCCTGTAAATGTGACTTGGCCAGTGGTTGCATTTGATGTTATCATTACATAGTTTAAGAGTTAGGTTTATCTTGATTTGTGGATTTGCTCATGGAAATCCTTGCTTGGTAATGATTCTCTACTGAGTTACCTTTCTATTCTTTAACAATTTGCTAGTGTTCTTTATTTGGTTCATATTAGCATCATCAGAAATAGTAAAGTATATTCCCCTAAATGTTTCTTCGTTTTACTTGTAAATGAAGGTACAGAAAATGCAGAAGAAACCTGATGTGAAATCAGATTATCTTTTATTTGCTCAACTTGGGTTGTTTTCCTGGAAACAGCCTCTCTGCCCCTCAGGTAGAGGTAAGGTCTGCGTACATATTACCCTCCCCAGACCCCACTTGTGGGATTACACTGGGTTGTTGTTGTTGTTGTTGTAACTTGGGTTGTTTTACTAGGAAATGAGATAATTTGAGTCAACCATGCAGTCATGCTTGAGGGTCAGACGATAATATTCTTGTTGTCGTAAAAAAAGTCTCAGATGTCTCATACTCTCATTATTTGCTTTTCAACGAGTAGTAGAGCCCGTTTGGACATACGGATTTTTTCATTTTTTTTCGATTTTCGTAATCAGTATTAGGCCATAAAATTTTCAATTTTCACTTGAAGATNATTTCTTGGGAATCCTACAAGATCCGTTCGTTCTTTTTTCTCTGATAGATGGTCAGAACTTCATCTGGGTTCGAATCCTACTGAGAGGTCCACTAGGGATCAGAAATTGTTGAAGAAACAACAAGATCTTTCTTTTGTCCCTTTCAAGCGATCGGAAAATAAAGAAATAGTTAATATATTCAAGATAATTATGTATTTACAAAATACCGTCTCAATTCATCCTATTTCAACAGATCCGGGATGTGATATGGTTCCGAAGGATGAACCGGATATGGACAGAATTTTGAAATTTTTCGAAAAATTGAAAAACTCCAAAAAGCTATTTTTCAAATTTTTTACTCAAATCACTCGCAAAACTTCAAAAATAACCCAAACTTATATCATCTCAAAACACACCTCATAATTTTCAAATATTATTTTCACTTGAAATTTCTTTTCACTTTTTTTTTTTTAATTTTTAATTTTACAATTCTTATGTCCAAACGCCCACTTAATCCTCTTAAAGCTATTATTGAAGATTATAAATATTTTCCGAAAGTCAATAAACAAATTTTATATTATGGGGAGGCAAACAAATATGTAGACCTCTAGCAAATGAAAATTAGAGACATGAATATTTGTTAGTATGAAAAAATGCGATCAAGGAAATAAAGTTTTCCTTCTGAAAGATTCAATCATTCAAGCAATATAGTTTATGAAAAATTTGAGGGATATTATCATTTTTAGCCCTTGCCAGAAACTTTTTGCATTTGATAGCCGAAAAAATGTATAAAATTTGTATAATTTTTGTATATAATATACAGAATATATACTATAAAATATATAAATTTTATATATTTTTTGACTATTATTTTTACAGCGGCTATACAGTGTCATTTTCCCAAAATTTTAATATATTTCTATTTTGTAATTTGCAATGTACCAAAGAAAAAAAGGAATACCGGAGACGAGATATTCCAAATAAGACATAATATTGTAATAGGTTTTGAGGGTTTAGCGGTAATCTTCTTTATCCTCATATTTTTTAATCAAAAGTATCTTCAATAAATTTTTCACAATAAAAGAAGTAATTGTGAAAAATTATATGTAGTACCAGTACTCTATTTCTATTAACGTTTTATTTACAATTGTGTTTATCGAGTGTATAACAAAAACGACATTAATTCAAGTTCTCAATAAAACGATTATGTGCAGTAATTCAAGTTCTCTATACTCGATTCATATATGAAACGATTATGAGCAGTATAAATATTTATGTTTCTGTTTCTACACATAAGCAATTATTAGCAACAGGGGCGGACCTAGTGCATGGGCTATGGGTTCCCGGGAATTCAGTAACTCTTGCGTAGACCCTGTATTTATATTAAAAAATTCACTAAATATTAGCAAATATTTGACTGTGAACCCAGTTATTATTGTATATTAATAAGAAATTACGGTAGGAACCCATAAACCTCAAATCCTGGATCCGCCTCTGAATTTAGCAATGCAATAATACTAAATATTGGATAATATAATAAAGAAAAATACAGAACAAAAAAGTTATTCGATGACTATACAAGTCTTTTTAATTTAATAGAGATTTTATTCGTTAAAATTCAAAAAATATTATTGAGAACATTAGAATAAAATTTAAAATAAAAAAATATTTCAAGAGTAATAATATATATATATTCTACTATTATATTACAAAAAACAAATTTAGTAGACAATAATATTAAACAAAGTAATGCTAATATAATAAAGAAAAATACATTAAAAAAAGTTATTCGATGACTATATATGTCCCTTTAATTTTAATAGAGATTTTATTCATTAAAATTCAGATAATGTTATTGGCAACAACAGAATAAAATTTAAGAGTAAAAAAAATACTTCTCTTATATTACAAAAAGAAAACGAGCGTACAAAAATATTTAACAAAGTAATATGCTAATAAAAATTTCTATTAACAATATTAAAATACTAAGCACTGGAAAATAGAATTAAAAAAAATATAGAACAAAAAAAATATTTAATGACAATATAAGTCCCTTTAATTTTAATAGAGATTTTATTATTGGGTATATTATATTAATAAATAAAATAACAATTAAAATTTAATAAAATAATACGATCTAATATGTTCAAACAAGGCCGATAACAATTTCATTTAATTAATATTTTTTAATATTGACCGGACATTACTAGTTTCCAGTAAATATATAATTATTCCATCGGAGAAACCAGAATAAACTATTTTACCAATTTTCCTCAAAACAGACCGACTGTAACAAGCAAAGAGAAAACAGAAACTCTCATATTTTCGGATTCAATAAGCAGATCAAACCCTCTAAATTTGATGAAATTATGTATATTATTAAATCAATTCAGGTGATAAAGGTCGACCCAGCAAAAAGATCAAGTTAAGATTGTATTTTTATTACTAATTTTTTATACCTTTGTGATGATGAAGGAGAATTATCGGTCTTCAGCTGCCGATGATGATCAGTACTACCCAGAAGAAGGCGGTGATGATTTTCAAGATGGTATTACTCTACCTTTATTAATAGAGGCGGATCCAGAATATAAACAGATTAGAACTATACATGTGTAAAGAACATATAAAGAATCATTTAAAAAATATGAGTTTGTGTTCTATGGACTTATGGTGCAAAAAGTGTTTACATAAAGAGGTCACTTATTAGGTAATTACATATAAATCTCTTGTAAAGTATTAATTGGTAATGTGATAGAAATGGTAACTAACCTGGTATTAGTGTTTAAATTCACTAATAGTGTAAAAAATCATTACATTGTAGGTGTTTATAACTTAAATCCAATAGTTTTATGTATGTTTTAAGAGCTGCACCCATTGCCTTTTAAATGCTGGAGGTGCTTTGTTACACTTGGTGATGCTTTAATAGGATAACTTTGTGTCATGTTTCAACTCAATTGATGTGGAAGTTTTGAATGACTTTTATATTTAGGCGAGAGGGAAGGGAAGAAGATGGATTTCACTAAACTGGAACTCAAACCAGATCATGCCAATCGCCCATTGTGGGCTTGTGCTGATGGAAGAATTTTCCTTGAGACCTTCTCTCCATTATATAAACAAGCCTATGATTTTCTCATTGCCATTGCTGAGCCTGTTTGCAGGTACCTTTTGTGTGGTCGATGATATACATTCTACGTTTTTGTTTGTTTGTGGATGTTTGGAGAGGGTTAACGGAATTGCTTTTATTTTTGCCGGAGTCGATGCATGAGTACAACTTGACGCCTCACTCGTTGTATGCAGCTGTTTCAGTTGGTCTTGAGACTGAAACTATAATAGCCGTGTTGAACAAATTGTCAAAGACCAAGCTTCCCAAGGAGATGATTGATTTCATTCATGCTTCTACTGCTAATTACGGGAAAGTGAAGCTCGTACTTAAGAACAATCGGTATTTTGGTAGAATCTCCATTTCCTGAGGCAAGATAATTAGCTATAGTAACAATGATTTAACTTGAGATATCTCTTGAACTATAAGGTTCACCATGGATTGCCACTAATTAATTGATTCATTTGATGTGATTATTTCTAGGTGTTGAAAAGATTGCTCAGTGATGAAGCCATAGCAAAGGCTAGAATTTCCTCTGAGGTTTGTGTTCAATGTGATTGAGTTGCTTGTTTGCTGTTTGTAATGGTTATCAAGAATTTGGCTTTTTCTCTGGATTCGCCTTTTTGATAAAACGAACAAGAAAAAAGTGTGGAATTTTCCACTTTGATTCCTTCGAATTTCAACGCACTTTTGTTTTTGCTTGGTGCTCTTATTGGTTACTGAGACATTGTGGAATTTTCTAGGGTTTTTAAATCGGATCGCTTACTCTAAGTGATTGAGCTTAATTGCTGGGATCTTTTTATCTAATTAGGGTTTTGAAGAGTTCAACAGTAGCAATTGATCCGCTGATCACCCGTTAATGCGAGCAAAATTGGCAGGGGATTTGAGCTATGGAAGAGGACTGTAGATATTAATAGAGTTATTAGCAGTTTTACCTTGACGGAGTTTTGAAATACTGTGTTTTTGACTCTTGTTTGTGAAATTTGAAGTGAAGAGCAATTTTAATTTAGTGGATTTTGCAAGTTTAAGTTAGTGGATTTTGGGTTGATTTAGTGAAGATATAAAATGGAAGCAAACTGAAGTTTGAAAGGAATGTGGGGACATGGTGCATGGACAAAAGTATAATTTCTGATTCGTTCTGTTACTGGAACAACACTGCTGTGAGAAATTAATTGGAGTATTATTATTATTATTTCGGAGTAGAATTTTGTGCAATGTCGTGCTGCTTTCCGTTTCCACCACGGGGATATGAAAAGAAGCTTAAACCAGAGGAGGGTGACTTATTGAAAGAGGTCTGTTCAACTTGTATAATTATCACTTTTTGTGAATGTGTTCTAATAATTCTAAGTAGTGCCAAATAGCATGTTCTATTGTTCTAATAATGCGGACCAGTAACACATTATCTGGAGATTATTGGCTGTGGATTGTGATGCGTGGACTGCTCCAAAGGCGTTTTCTTTCATATGGTACTTAATGTCAATTAATTGATTGGAAATTTAAAAGTATGCATGCTTCTGAGCCAAGTAGTGTGATTCTCTTATATATTGGGAGACAACATTTCTAAAAGCAATTGTCTTAATATATCGGAATTCGGAAGAAGACATTCTAAAAGCACTGCTGAAAAGATAGTGTATATTTGTATAAAAGGAAAAATAAAGGGATCTGCTTTCTGTTTTGTTCTGATTAGTATAAGACGTGATGCATAAGTAGACTGCTTTAGACATCTTTAGTTATCTAAGGTGAAATCTCTAGAACATGATGACGGGTAACATTTTTTTTTAATTGAATCCAATTGAATGGTATGTTAATTTTCTTCCTTTGGATGCACTATACTCCATCCTTTTGGTGGAAGTTGCTGGTTGCTTGTCATGCTTCCCATCAATACTTCAGCTGGATTACGTATATTTGTTATTAGCAAAGGCTCTCTGGCCATGGCTGTGGTTTCAGTTGAATTATCTTAAGTTACAGAATCTTAGTTTGGGGCATTTGTAAATTAATTATTATCTGGATCTATTTAGAGCTGTGTATTTGTAGGATTGTATCCTTAGAAGTTCACCTTTTGAGAAATTGCTAGATTTGTGGGAGAAGATAAATGTGGAGACAGGGAAAATTTGGTTGTTTTACAATAGTAGGACTATCTTTACTAGGGAAAAGGTCCAAACTTGCCCATGTTATATCCAAAATTGCTCAATTTTGTGTTCTGTTGGACTTTTGAAACTTGTGGTCTTAACTGTGGAAATAGGCCTAATTTGGTTGTTTTAAGATAGTAGGACTATATTTACTGGGGAAAAAGGTCCAAATTTGCCCATTTACTGTCCAAAATTGCACAATTTGGCCCTCAGTTAGACGTTAAAAACTAGTGGACTTTTCCCCCTAAAGGTGGTAAGCTGCCTTATCCCGTAGGATCCATTATGTATTTTGCTGTTGGTGGGTGTTTCCTGTATATTTGGTGGAATTTATCTTCATTTTGTCTGTCTTTTAAGAGTAGAGTTACTGATGTTTGATGTATTTTTCTTGCAAACATATTATACCCTCCACGAGTCAAGAAAAATCTGCAAGTTGTGTATATTTTTTTCGTAGGTGGTTGTGGTGGGATTGGGGGGACTATCTGCTATGATGAAATATTTTGTGGTTTGCTGATTGCCTTTTCTGTTTTGCGTTAGTGCTTTGTCTTTCAGTGTTCTTATCATTCACATTTTGTGTGACTCTATCTTGCGGATACGTTGTACCTTAGAGGCCTGTATTCACTCCCTAGTAATATTGTTTGTCTTAGGACAGTTTTATTGTACTTGCCTTTCACTTTGATAGATAGTTTCCTATTGCATAACACCTCTCTCAGCCACCATATAGTTTGATGTGCAATATTGTTATCTGTTATACCATTCTCCTGAAACATTGAGCTTATATATTTAAATTATTTGCATTTAGGCACCGCAATCCCGACTAATCTTACATTAGCTTTACTTTTCTAATGTTGGCTAAACTTGTAGTGCATATATTTAATCTTACTTGCAATTATTTTAAAACCCTTGCCTTCTAGAGTGCTTCTTCTCTGTTGTTTTGTTAATTAACATAATATCGTATGCAAATATTTTACACCATGGGACCATATCCTCTATATTGTTAGCTCATCTACTAACTAGGGTAAGCAAGGGTACGTTTTTCGTAGTTTTGTTAATTACCACCGTCAACAAATATCATACACCTTTGACCCTCACTATCATAAAGAAAAATATTGTTCGTTAGCTCATAGATAACTCGGATAAACAAGTATGGGTTGAATGTTGATTCTTGGTGTAAACCCACGATTATGGGGAACTCCTTTTTATCTCATACAATTGTTCTCACACTAGTGACTACTGCATTCATATATACATGATATTTATATATGTAGTATCAATTCCTTTCCGTTCAAACACCCACCAAAAAAACTTTTCTTGGCACTCTATTACGTGTTTTTTCATGGTCAAGGAACATCATTTATAAATCCTTTTTCCTCTCCCTACAATTTTTTATCAATCTTCTTAGCAACAATATAGCCTACTTTTGTAGATGTACGAGATATAAATCCAAACTGATTCACTTCACTTTTATAGTTTCACTAAGTGTACGGGCATTTACTTTCCCCCCAAAGTTTTATTGTGTGGACTGTGGCTCATGGAATCAAGCTTCTTTGCCCTCATCCATTCATGATGCTAGAACTCTTTCTCTATCTTGCACCACATCGGGCGCTGATGTGGCAGGAGTAACTACTTTACCCACATTCATATGAACCATTGTTCATACTCCCTCATCTGGGAAACGATGTGATGGAACTGAAGTCCGGTAACACTGTCTAATTGAGCATGTACCAATGTATTCTATGTTGTGAGTTCATCCTAAATTGACTAGTTTTTTAGCTGGTTGTCAACCACTTGTAGCCCTCATCCTTTAATTGGGATTCGAACTGGTAATGTGAGCAAGCTCAAACAGGCATGATGAGGGCTCTTTTTGTCATGGATATTTTCTGTTGCTGTTATAATTTTGTAGCTGAACCCATTATGGAACATCATTCATTATAAAGGCATTTCACACGGCACGAGCTGGAGACTGTAGAAGTTAATTATGGACTTCTTCTATGACGATAACTCTCCTAAAAGAGACTGATTAGGAACTATTTGATTTTTAAATGTTTTTCCTTCATGATGCCTAAACTCATATTCAAGAAGCAAAACTTGTATATTGCTTTTGGATCCTGCTAATTAAGCTGGAGCCACGGTGAGATGTGATTGCCTTTTAATAGTGTGTTTGCTGATGTCCTGTTCTGCACTTTGTTATTGCGTAACATATTGGGGCACCAGGTTTAGTAAAAGTGATTGTATGTATTTGTTCAATGTTTTGCTTTTCTTACTAATAAACAATGTTTACCATACAAATTTAATACTATGTGACTACTCTGTTTTGTTTGCTATGATGATCATTTAAGTTCTTAACTGGTGGTTGATTTGTTTTTTCTCTTCAACTATTGGATACTTTTGTTCTTGAGCATTCATCAGATAGATCTAGGATTTCCACCTGAACTTGAGTTTCTCATTTGGTTTTCAAATTTTGGCACTATATCAACTATTTATAATGTTGTGCTAGATTTGACATGTTTTGGATTTTCCTCCTTTTGCATAAGGATGTTTTAACTAGTTGTACTTGACCTACTTGTCAAACAAAAATAAAATTGTAATCGACCTTTTTGGTATAAACTAACAGTTCCTTTTCATGTGTGTAGGAGAAAAGGAAGGAGAAAAAACATAAAAAGGAAAAGAAAGACAAGGAAAAGAGAGAAGGTAAAGAAAAAAGGGATAAAGACAAAAGCGATGGGAAACACAGAGAAAAGAAAGAGAAAAAGGATAAACACACGGACAAGAAGGAAAAGCACAAGGACAATAAGAAGGACAAGGACAAGGATAAAGAGAAAAGCAGCATCTCTGAGGAGGCTAGAGTTGCCGCTCTACCTGGGCCTTCTACTGGAGGGAAACTTCACGAGAGAGATGAACATAAAGATAGACACATTAGCTCAGATAAAGGGAGAGATGAACATCAGCTCAGAGATAGGGATAGAAACATCAGCTCTGAGAAAAGCAAGCGCCCCGATCAGTTTCACATCCAGCTTGGCCTCTGCTGTTGAGACAGAGGACTCAAAATTTGTGCAGGAGTTGGAGAGGAGGATCAGAGATGCAGAAAAGGGTGCTCAAAGTCAGTTGGCGGAGAGATTTCCAGTTGAGTGCAAAAGGGATGAAGAGACAGGCAGGGCGCGTCAAGGATTCTGGAAATTTGGCTGAACACAAGGAAAAGAACAAAGAGAAAGGATTTGTTAACAATAAGATGGATGGGCAAGCATTCAGGGGTGAACATAAAATTGGAGCTAATGCAATACCTCCCAGCCTTTCTACAATGGCAAAAGCAAATTTGATGGAGTCCCCAGACCATTTGAAGAAAATGTTGAGAAGACAAGGGAGGAAAAACAGAAACCTAAAGAAAGACGTGATGACAAACCAAGAGAGAAAAACAAGGATAAAGATAGGGAAAAGAAAAGTCATGGAAAGCAAAAAGACAAGGAAAAAGAGAAGAAAAAGGAAGAGAAGACGAAGGACAAAAGTGAACACAAGAAAAGCCAGGAGGATAAATCAAGAGACATCAATAAGAATGACTTTATTGGTCTTAATAACAATAAACTTCCACTTATATCCAAGGAAAACATTGCTGGTACGGTCAACGTGGGAATTCTCAGAAAGAGGAAGGATGTTGAAACTAATGGTTTCCTGCATGGTGAGTTAAAAAAAAGCTATTAACAGCCTGCTATTTTCTGTTGTATTGACTTTACATCCTACCCTGCGGATGCGTCAAAGCTATGCGAGTTATGTATCTGAATTAGATTGCCTTGATAGAGTTCTTATGATTTTGGGTGTAGTAGTTTGTTAGGGAATTTGTAGCCACCATATTTGATGTATTTCTAATGCAAATTGCTTGAACTTAAACAAGCGTGTTCAGCTCTATTTAACTTTTTGGTTTGGCTGATTAGTGTTGCTTTTCTGTTCTGCTGTACAGAGAGTGAACTCAGGCCTGCTAAATTGCTGCGGCCGTCATCCTCTCTGCAGCCGACACAGAATGGAAAAAAATTTGACACTCACCCAAAAGCAGACCTGTTCTCCTCCAGTAAACAGTAAGTTGCTACTGATATTAAAGTGGAAAACAAGAAGCACAAGGTGAATGGTGGTATAGAAGGCCAGCCATTATGCAGTGCTGAGGCAACGGCTTCATCCATCATTCCTGGTGCTGATCAAATAGCTGAAGCATCTAAAAGACCTCCTCATCCCGATTCCAAGTACTTAAGCCAGATACTCTCAGTTCCGAAGGTGGACAATTGGTCTGGGTTTGATGACCAGGAATGGTTGTTGGGAAGCGAAAGAACTCCGGCTAAGAAAGCTGAGACGTGTCCAGATGAAGTCAATAAGGAACATTGGGTGTGGTCTGAAGCTTTGCAAATAAAGACTGTTGATGTTTGTGCTCTGCCATATGTTATACCTTATTGATGCTATTAACATGATCTGACATGATTAGTTTCCAAGGACGAAGCTCTGTCAGCTGTGCAGGAGCAAGCATCTGGCTTCTAGAGGCCCGTACTCGGTTTTGATTGGGTTCTTTCTCACCCCTCTAGCCCTGGTGGTCTTGCTGGTGGCAGTTTGTTCTGACATTGTTTCAAAAATCGTGATCGCGGCTTCTTCCTATACCTATGAATTCACATCAAACCCAAAAAATGATACGTTGGAAGAATCTGTCAGGTCTTTATAATATCAATAGGTTGATTGTTTTGCTCCTGTAACTTCCCAAAGGAAAAGGAGGGGCAACTTATTGCCATATATCTGATAACTCCACAGATGGAACGGCGGGATAGTGTGTCTAGGAAGACGCATAAGCTTATGCAAGTTTATTCTATTTGCTTAAAAGCTTAGATGCTCTTTCTAATTGAGTGTAAAAGAACTAGCTTTTGTGGTCTTTACAACTCCACAATTTTGATTTGTAACATAGTATTACTATAGTTGTAAGATAGATGGGATAAAAAGCACAAACAAAAGAAAAGAGGTAGTTGCATTCATTTGATTCACTGAGATGCAAGGTCTTGATTATAGTTGATTTCCACTATCTAAAAAATTAACCATTCAACATCAGATTTCAAGTTAATTAGACGAAAACTATTGGATGTATATTAGAGNATATGGGAAGAGAATACGTTGTGTGTACAATTTTGTATTTAGAGACTAGTAGTCTTGCTCAAACATTTGTTTGCCCAAGCTTGGTCCAACAGTGTTTTTTTTTTTGCCTAAAGCACTTTTGGCCAAAATTTAAGGTGTTTGGCCAAACTTTTAAATGGAAAAAAGTGGTTTTGAGGAGAACCGGAAAAAAGTAGCTTCTCTCCAAAAGCACTTTTGAGAAAAAGTAGTTTCCAAAAGCTTGGCCAAATATTAATTACTGTTCAAAAGTGCTTTTCAAATCAATTAGCCAAACATAAACTACTTCTTACCAAAAACACTTTTTTGAAAAGTACATCTCAAAATAAGCTGATTTTAGAAGTTTGGCCAAACGGGCGATTATATATATAGCTGCGAGAATAAAGGATTAATCTATGGTTGTCGGGATTGTTTTTTTAGAAATAGCCAGATTTACAACTAGTAATTTAAAAATAGCCACAATTTCAAAAGTAATCGAAAACTAACCACTTTTTCATATAAAAATAGAATCTGAACAAAAACTCTTAAATATCCGATTTTTTAAAGCATAATATGCTAACATAATGTGCTGGAATTTTATAATATGCTGGAGTTCCAACATATTAAGCTGGAAGTTTATACGCGGGGGCTCCCTAATTTAGTATATCATGTTGGAATTATTCGTGTGTTAAACCCAACATAATATACAGGAAGTTTATACTCAGGAGCTCCATAATCCAGGATATTATGCTGGAATTTTTCATGTTTTAGCAAAATAGTACTCCCTTCGCTCCAGTTTATGTGAACCTATATCCCTTTTGGTTCGTTAAAAAAAATGACCCATTTCTAAATTTGAAAATAATTTAACTTAAACTTTCAATTCTACCCTTAATGAGAAGCTTTTAACCACACAATTACTCTAGACCCCTTTCTGACATGTTTAGGACCACAAATTCCAAAAGTCTTCATTTTTTCTTAAACTTCGTACCCAGTCAAACAGGTTCACATAAATTGGAACGGGGGAGTAGCTATTTTTCAGTAGCTTTGTAAAAGGTGCCTATTTTTTAATTATCAGTCCCAAAACTGTCTAGCCCGTACTATTTTCACATGGTTGTCCCATGCTAGAATAAAAATTAAAAATAGCACGGTATAGCCAGTTTTCAGACTAGTCATTCAAAAATAGCCAGCGTTTACGAAGTCAATGAAAAATAACCACTATTTTGCTGCAACAGAGACCGGTCCAGCATAATATGCTGGAGTTCGGTGCACCTGTGTATGAACTCTAGCATATTATGCTGGACTGGTATACTTTGCTGACTCCAGTATAATATACTAGAGACTGGAGCACCGGTGCTCCAAACTCCAGTATATTATACTGGACAATTATACTTGCTGGAACTCCAGTATAGGCCCTCTCTTGTTTAGTTTTTCTTTTAGTATAAAAAATTAGTTCATGAAATATATATATATTTCTTAGTTTTAGATGGGAAGAGGATACGTTGTGTGTACAAATTTTGTATTTAGAGACTAGTAGTCTTGCTCAAACCTTTGTTGCCCGACTTCTAGACTGTTTGGCCAAACTTTTAGATGGAAAAAGTGGTTTTGAGGAGAACCGGAAAAAAGTAGCTTCTCTCCAAAAGCACTTTTGAGAAAAAGTAGTTTTCAAAAGCTTGGCCAAATATTAATTACTGTTCAAAAGTGCTTTTCAAATCAATTAGCCAAACATAAACTACTTCTTACCAAAAACACTTTTTTGAAAAGTACTTCTCAAAATAAGCTGATTTTAGAAGTTTGGCCAAACGGGCGATTGCCTTCAGTCCAGTGAGACACTGAGGTAGCCTTGCAGGCGTTCGCAAGCCCGACATCTCCTCTGTCTTTTATTTCCGTCTGTTATCTCATATATTCGAGACAAACAGTTTATATTTTCTTTCAAACGGTTGTATTTAGCACTCTTAGAAATTCGTGAGTAATGTAACACTAGTTCTTGGGTAGTACTAATTCTCTGATTTTTTGGACTTCGAAATGGTTTGAGGTCTATTCATTTGTAGTCGGGCATTGTTGTTTGCTAGGTTGTTTGTGTGTTCGAAACTGGAATTTGGTTTGCTAAACTTCAGTTTTTTTTGGGGGGTTCAAAAATTGGTTGGCTGGTTTACTCCTAGTACTGGAATCTGGAACTCTATTTTGTTGCTGCTGCCTACTGATCCCTCATTTCTTCTTGCTTTCCTTTATTCCCAGGTATTCTTTTGAAACTATCATGGAATTGAAGTTTGACTAAAGCTGTGCAAAGATCCGAAAGTTTGAGTTGGAGTTCAAATGGAAACTTTAAACTCTTTCTGTAATGGCTGTTGATTTCAGTTGTCTTGTGTGATTAAAATTCTGTAGTGATTTAGTTTATATTAAACACCTCGATGTTTGCAAGTTAATTGTTGAATTGAAATCATTTGGAGTAGGAATTTAAGGTATGAAAATGGTGTATAGAGAAACATGTGATAAATATATACTGACTTCGAGGGAATCCAATTAAAAAGAAAAAGAGCATCTGCCGTGGAATTGTTTATCCACTTGAATTTGCCGTTTGAATTTTTTTTATCAAATCAATCAGCGATAAGAGATAATTGTGCCGGACGTGAGATCGGGTCTTTTTTGGATTGCTATACTGAGTATCATCAGATTCTGATGGATGAAGAAGATGCGGAAAAGACGGCTTTCATTACCCGTGGGGGACTTATTGCTACCGGGTAATGCCATTTGGTTTGAAGAATGCTGGGGCAACGTACATGAGAACAATGACTACTGTGTTTCATGACATGATACACAAAGAGATTGACACTCGCTCCAAATTTGTCGGACTGTTGCTTCATGAAATTGTCCGTTAGGCCCGATCTCGACCACTTGGCCGCTAAGATCTTCATCTTTCGGAACTATTTAGCATCTCCCCAACTGCCTCAATACTCGATACGGGGCATAGAGCTGAATACTCCTGAGTCCCATCAAAAGGAAATGGGGTCCAGTGGCTGGCATATATATGATTTCATCCACAGACAACCACCCAAATGTCCATTCTATTTGGCTTGCAGTGACAGAACGGAGGCGCGCTGCCCACTCTATGACCCCTTCTAGTAAGCTGATTCTGTCAACCCTCGTAGGAAATTACCGGCTTTTGAATATTTTGAGGAAAGAGAGATAGAGGTACGAGGGTTAAAGAGAGTTAGTCTCCTGTTTTGAAAAAAAAGAAAAAACCAATGTCCAAATATATAGCTGCGAGAATAAAGGATTAATCTATGGTTGTCGGGATTGTTTTTTAGAAATAGCCAGATTTATAACTAGTAATTTAAAAATAGCCACAATTTCAAAAGTAATCAAAAACTAACCACTTTTTCATATAAAAATAGAATCTGAACAAAAACTCTTAAATATCCGATTTTTTTAAGCATAATATGCTAACATAATATGCTGGAATTTTATAATATGCTGGAGTTCCAACATAATAAGCTGGAAGTTTATACGCGGGGGCTCCCTAATTTAGTATATCATGTTGGAATTATTCGTGTGTTAATCCCAACATAATATACAGGAAGTTTATACTCAGGAGCTCCATAATCCAGGATATTATGCTGGAATTTTTCATGTTTTAGCAAAATAGTACTCCCTTCGCTCCAGTTTATGTGAACCTATTTCCTTTTTGGTTCGTTAAAAAAAATGACCCATTTCTAAATTTGGAAATAATTTAACTTAAACTTTCAATTCTACCCTTAATGAGAAGCTTTTAACCACACTATTACTCTAGACCCCTTTCTGACATGTTTAGGACCACAAATTCCAAAAGTCTTCATTTTTTCTTAAACTTCGTACCCAGTCAAACAGGTTCACATAAATTGGAACGGGGGAGTAGCTATTTTTCAGTAGCTTTGTAAAAGGTGCCTATTTTTTAATTATCAGTCCCAAAACTGTCTAGCCCGTACTATTTTCACATGGTTGTCCCATGCTAGAATAAAAATTAAAAATGGCACGGTATAGCCAGTTTTCAGACTGGTCATTCAAAAATAGCAAGCGTTTACGAAGTCAATGAAAAATAGCCACTATTTTGCTGCAACAGAGACCGGTCCAGCATAATATGCTGGAGTTCGGTGCACCTGTGTATGAACTCCAGCATATTATGCTGGACCTGTGTATGAACTCCAGCATATTATGCTGGACCGGTATACTTTGCTTAGTCCAGTATAATATACTGGAGATTGGAGCACCGGTGCTCCAAACTCCAGTATATTATACTGGACAATTATACTTGCTGGAACTCCAGTATATTATGCCGGAGTTCTAGTGTACTTATGCTGGAACTCCACATATTATGCTGGAGTTCCAACAAACTTATCCTGGAACTTCAGTATAATATGCTGGAGTTCAAACATACTTATGCTGGAACTCCAGTATAATATACTGGCGTATTTTCCGGGTTTTGAATAGTGTTTTCGCTCAGATTTATCTTTACATGAAAAGTGGCTAAATTTCGATTACTTTTAAAACTGACTTAATTTTTGAACGACCAGTTATAAATCTGGCTATTTTTGAATTTCTCCGGAATAAAAAGGCAAAGCTTCATTTTTTATTATGAAAGTAGAAACTGCTAACAATCACTTATCATATGGCCCACACTTGCTGAAATACAAAGGCCCCCTTCTTAACTTGAAAAGTGGACCACAATCTTGAAGTTTCTTTATTCCTTTTATGCAATTTTCACAATAAGAAAGGTCCAAAAGAGGTGGCTGAAAATTATAACAAAAATAACTCCAAGATTTTAAAGATAATTCTCAGTCCTTAAGCTAGGCAACAAGTGTACAACTTTCTATCAATCCATATGGAAAAATATCACAGGACAAATTGCAGAAAGCAACATATTTTGGTTCTTTTTAAGGAACAAACCAATAACTCAAAAGCCAATTGTGGGTGTCTCTTTCTTGAGTAATTAAATGGGAAGATATGAGAAACCAAAATAGACCAAGCGCCACACTTTGTGATGTGGTCTTTATTTACTGAAATAATATGCCTTACAACTAAACACTAGACTGAGTCATACAAGATGATAATGAAAATGACCAAGAATTGAAATCTTCCTTACTCCCAATTCATCATCTCCAAGAAAAGGGAGTTTACCAGGTTCTTAATAATTTGAGTTTGTGAGGTCTGGATTCAAGAAAAGGGAGTTTACCAGGTTCTTAATAATTTTATTTTATATATTTTAATGAATTTTTAGACATAAATACAAGATTTGAGCCAAAGCTGCTCCAATTCAGTTGAACCAGTAAGTAAAACTATAGCTCCACCCTAGGACCTTTCACACCAGCATGTGATTTCACCCAATTCTGAGAGAATTGGTAGACAGTTTCTCTTTTCTGGCAAATGAAACTGATATATAGAGAGAGAGAGAGAGAAGGAAAGCTTGCCAAACTTGCTTAACATGAATAAAACACTGCCTTTTCTGAAGCAGGAGTATATTACTGGAGATGGAATTCTTGATTCACAATTTCACATTACTATGTACAAAATGCACTGTCTATTTAGGTGCATTTTCATATATGGTTAGCACTAAAACGAGAGGAAAAAGGAGAAAAAGATCCCATATATACAAAATAATAGGAAAACGTATTGATTATTATCGATTAAGATGAAGCTTCGTTCCTTTGCCTGCGCATTCGTGCTCCCCATGACATACTATTACTAGAGTCCTTGTGCATGCTTCTTCTCTTGAGCTCTGATAGCTGAGACTGCCAACGATTTCTCCACTCGCCTTTATCCTCCATTGACTAAATTCATAAGAACAGAATCAAATTAGCAGAAGGATAACAACAATTCAAGAACAGAACGTGTCATTTGATCATACTAGCAAACAGAAGTCAATTACATGAATGTGAAAGAAACAGAGTGATTCTAGGGAAAAGATTAGCCCAGTACTCCTACAAGCAGTTAATTTAATGTCCTCGAGATGCACATGGGCGGGGACAAAGTTTCAACGAGATAAATAAGGATTAAAAGTAGTTTAGAGATAATGGCACAAGTAGGAAAAAGAGTCAAACAACTCGATCATCAAAGCAATGGAATCTAAGCAAAGAGCATTGCGCTTACAATGGAAGTCGTCTCGAGTTTGAGGGTAGACAAGAACACAAGAAAGGATTAAGAAAATGAAAGATGGGAACTCGTTTGGTATTTTAAGAGAAACTAGTTTCAGTCATTCTTCTTGCCTCGGGAATTAAGGAAATGAGTACATTCAAGGTACTTCAAACATGAGACACTTATGAAATAATTAAAGAGGTTGAATGTGAAAATAAGAGAAAGAAGGTTGATTATTATAGCATAACAAATAGCTTAGCATAGGGATAGATATGAAACAATTTTTTTTAGATGAAAACAGTTTTTTAAAGATTCCAGTAATTGAGGTATAATCTACGAAACATCAGGCTATCTCATACTCAGTCAATGACATCTATTATGATAATATTCATGTAGTTCAAATAGAGGAAGGCAGTGGGAACGCCAACGATTACAAATGTCAACAGTGACAAAAAACACCAGCATCTAAAACCAAAGAATATTATGAGAAAGGACCAATAACTAAATTCTTTGGATCGGTCAAAAACATTTCTTTTCTGTTGTATTGTTCACTCATCTGAGTAGACGAGGCAGACCAATAACTTGATCCCAACAATGATCATGCTAAGAGCATCAAGCATCTAGATATGGCAGTTCCACAGCAAGTATTTTCAATATTCCACACTTATCCTTACACCTTTTTTTTCGAAAAGATCTCAGGACTTAGCCGTATATACTAAGATTCTAGTCAAACAATTCTTATCTTTAGCATGTCAGCCTTTAAGATACGAATAACTATGTTTTTATGGATTTAATTTGCATAAATCGGTAGCTTAAAGAATTTTTACACTTTCAATGTCGTTTAAAAGACTATAATGACTTGTAAGGACTTACCTGTAAATGCATTTTTTATCCTTTAAGTGCCATCACTGTGAAGAAAAATATTACAGTATAAGTAAAAATTAAACTCATGTAAGCAAGCCATCCCAGATAGATCTTCATATTTGCGGTAGGGATGGCAAACGGGATCGGGCGGATGGTAAAATTCACAAATAGCCACTTTTTGGTCCCTATAACTGACAAATATTCAATGTCCTGAAATTTCAAATTCTACAAGTGAAACTCCAAGACAGTGGCTATTTTTTTAAAGAGAGGCCAAAAAATGGCCACCGAGCTATTTCTATAGGAGGCAGATCCAATATTTAAATTTTAAGAACCCGTTTGGACATAAGAATTTTATCACTTTTTTCGAAAAAAAATCACTTTTTTCCGGAATCAGTGTTTGGCCATAAAATTTTCAATTCTTCGCTTGAGCATGAATTTTATAATTTTTCGAAAATTTGAAAAACTCAAAAAAAGTTATTTTCTAAATTTTCGGTATGATCACTCACAAAAATTCAAAAATAACCCAAAATTATATTCATGTCCAAACCCAACTCTAATTTTTAAATACCATTTTGGCTTGAATTTTTTTTTCATTTTTTTGGAATTTTACAATTCTTATGTCCAAACGCCCACTAAGTGTTCTTACCGCGATCTCAAACTAACTAATGTATAATAATAACCAAACCAGATTCCGAGCTAAATATTCTTATACAAAATACAGAGTCTGAACAAAAGTTATTGGATTCAGTGAACTAACCTCATCGCTTTGGTAACGCCTACGAGCAGAGAACGCAAAGTGAAGACCTTTAGCCATATCTTTATCATACATATCTCTCATTCTAGGATCCGATAAAGTCTCATACGCCTCCTGAACCCGAATAAATCTCTGCGTATACTCCTCGACCCGATCCGGAGGTGAAACATCCGGGTGGTACTTTCGTGCTAATTGCTTGTACGCTTGTTTAATTTCCAATAAAGTCCCTGTTTCCGATATACCAAGCAGATCGTAAAAACTCCTATTATCAATCTCAGCATACGAAACGACGTCGTTAAGCTTCGATTTTGCTTTCAAGGAACCAAATTTGGTTCCCAAAACTTGGAAATTTGAGGGGTAGTTTGGGAAATATATACGGGGGTGTAGGGAGGAGGGGGAGATAGAGGGGGGTGGTGGGGAAGAGATCGGGATTAAGCCATAGGAGTTGCAGCACATTTCTCTCAGTTTTGGAATTTTTTTTTCTGTGTTTTTTGGGTGTGGATCCATATATATAAGGATCTGGATAGAGAATGAAGAAGAAAAGGGTAATTATGTCATTTTAATCAGGAAATAAATAGTCAAAAAATGGATTTCTTCCAAATTTAAGTTGGCGTTGGAGAACCATCCTGGAACAATTTAGTGGGCGTTTGGACATGAAAATTGTAAAATTTCTAAAAAAAAGTAAAAGAAATAAAATAAAAATAAAAGTGAAAGTGGTATTTAAAAATTAGAGTTGTGTTTGGACATGAATATAATTTTGGCCAGCTTAAAATTTTTGTCAGTGACCTGAAGCGAAAATTTGAAAACAGCCTTTTGGAGTTTTTCAAATTTTCGAAAAATTTTGAAATTCATCTTTGAATATTTCATGGCCAAATACTGATTTCGAAAAAAAGAAAAGAAAAATCGAAAAAAAAAGTAAATTTTTTTATCCCCAAACGGGCCCTTAGTCCTTCCTCTCATTTTAATTATTGTTTTCGTTTTTTTTTTACGTTTATTAAAAATAAAAAATATAATTAATTAAATTATCACTATTGAATGTTCTTTTAAAATTAAGCAGTATAAAAAAGTAGTACAGAAAAAAGATTTCGAAAAAAAAAGTAATTTTTTTATCCCCAAACGGGCCCTTAGTCCCTCCTCTCATTTTAATTATTGTTTTCCTTTTTTGTTACGTCTATTAAAAATAAAAAATATAATTAATTAAATTATCACTATTGAATGTTCTTTTAAAATTAAGCAGTATAAAAAAGAAGCACTACTTCTTTAATACTAAAGGAATGTTAAAACTATTAAAAATTTAAATCTTGAATTACTAAATTAATAATTATGTTAGAACAAGTTCTTTGAGCTAAAGTGACTATTAAAATTGGAACAAAGAAGTATTTTTAAGGATTTTTAATAAATGTTGTGAAATTTTATAGGGTCGATGGTGCATGATTCGAGGCTCGATATATAATTAATTTAATGTTCGAAACAGCTCAAATACCTAATTTTAATCTCAAAGAATACTACCTCCACTTCAAAATACGTAATTTTTTAACTTTTTCTTGTGGTCCAAAATAAGTGATTTTTTCAGATTTCAAGAATGAATTAATTATTTTTTTCCTACATTGTCCTTGGAGTAATTAATGTTGGAGTATGTATTAGGAGTGTTTATGTAAAGAGATAGTAAAGGTTAATATGATTAATTTCATTGCTAATTAATGTTAAAAATATATTTCTTAATATGTATGAAAATAATTAAAAAATTACTTATTTTGGACCGGAAGAAGTACTACGTACGATCGCGTCGAACTTCAATAATTACACTCCTCTTACTTTAAGGTTGATTTATTGTCGGCCACATTAAGATAAATATGTCAATTATCAAGGGGACTTTCCTCCACTTAGGGTTAATTATACTTTATGAATTTGATTATTCTCCATGTGTTTCTAAAATGGTTATCTTCCTGCAAAATAAGAATATTTTAGTCTTGTCTTCTATTATTCGTTGGAATATTTTTGTAATAATGGTTTAGTCTTGTGTTTTATTATTCGTTGGAAATTTGCTGTTTTGGCTATAGTTGGCTAGTGCTTTATAATCCACTACTTTAAAAAAATTAAAATTAACTATGAATATTATCACTAAATCGCTTGTAATTAATAATTTTTTTAATAATTTTTAGCTAATTCATTGTCAAGTAGGATTAGCGACGAATTCTGCTATTTGTCGCTAATTCCAATTTTGTCCCTAGACGAACTTTAGAGGATTCGTTCCTGATTTCAAACTTAAGGGATTTCCAAAGAATTAACCGAAATCAAATATAAATTGGTCACTGAATTAAAACAAAATTAATATTAGCGTTAGTGGGACTTAAGTTTTTGAAATATAGGGAAGAAAATATATCTCAACAAAGAAAAAAGTGAAATTAATCAAACTTCAAGGTGAGTCTTTGTTACCTTTCTAAAGTACTTCTCTGAAAATTGATCGACACATATAACTACATATCTAAAGTATTTTTCTAAAACTCGTTTTTGACAAGGAACACTTTTTAAATAAATAAATAAAATTTGAAAGTTTAGCCAAATCCACTATTTTACTATGAATTGACAGCTTGAAGGAGTAGTTGAAGAATAATACTTCTTTTTCATGTCAATTCAGCGTCTTAATTAAAATAAAATAAAATAAGTCTTGAATCAAAGATATGGCAATTAGTTTAACGGAAAAGGTTCAAAAATGCCCTTAACCTATTAGAAATGGTTCAAAAATACCTTTCATCCACCTATTGAGTTAAAATGCCCACAACGTTTTTTCAACGATTAAAATTGCCCCTTGAACTAACGTTTGACTTTTGGGTTGTGCAGGACTTTTCCAAAATCCACGTGACATTATTCAATTGGTCAACACTCAACCCATAAACCCGATCCCACATAAATGAATACCCATTAATAAAACTCAATATGTTTTACTCATTTGCATTTCACGACACAGACAAGAACCTAGGGTTCTTCAGTTCTCCTTTTTCTTCAAATGTGCCTACTTCATATATTTCAAAAAATCTAAGGTAAGGTTTTACTGCTTTGGGTGTTTACTTATGATTTGGGAATATTTGGGTAGTTGTAAATGGTGTTATTTTTCATGCCTTTAGTGTATTTAAAATTATATTTTTTAAACTTATATTTGTGTTGTTTATACTTTATTACTTGTAGTGGTCCATCTCTAGTTTTTGTTCTTTTTGACTTTAATTTTGCATTAAAAAATTGGTGTGGGGTCCTTTTCTCTTTGAATATTGTCTAATATGGCCGTTCTCCTTTCTTTAATGTTTTACATGTGACTCGGTTCAAGAATGGTTGAAAATATAGACTTGATTTTTAATTACGGAGGAAACTAAAAGAACTTGGAGCTGGTTTGTGAAGTTGTTGAAACACTCTTTGGATTTGAAAGATGGTGAAAAAATTACCTTTGTATCAGATATGCAAAAGGTATCTCAAATTTAATTTTATTTCCTCTTTAGTTTTACGATTTTTATGGTTATTTATACTTAATGTAAGCTGAATTTATGTGTTTGCAGGGTTTGTTGGATGTTGTTAGTAACGTATGCCCACAAGCAAATCATAGATGGTGTATTAGGCACATTGAAGCTAATTGGAGCAAAAAATGGAAAAGTGGGGAGATGAAAAAACTTCTTTGGTGGTGTGCCTGGAGCACATATGAAGAGGAGTTTAAAGATCAGTTAAAGAAATTGGGTCAGCTAGATGAGGCTGCTGCTAAGGCTTTGGTGAGTTATCCACCCAAAAATTGGTGTAGAGCTTATTTTGACACCCAATGCAAGAACTTTATGGTGGACAACAACTTTACAGAATCTTTCAACTCTTGGATTGTACAGGCTAGACAAAAACTAATTATAAAGATGCTTAAAGATATTAGGGTGAAGGTTGGATTACTTTATTGTTTCAATTCTTTTAATGTTCTGTTATTTATTGTTTTAATTCTTTTAGTTTTTTGGTTGAAGTTATATTATTTTACTGTTTTGTATAGGTTATGAACATGTTAAGGGATCATGAAGCTGAGATTTTAAATTGGAAAGATGAGTATATTAATGTTTTTTGGTGTTATGTAAAGAGAATGAAGGAATGACTTCAAACAATTAGTGTTTTTGCTGATTTGTGCTCGTATTGGTCGTTAGACAATTAAATGCGGTGAAAGGTTATATTAATGTTCAAGTTTATGACTAATTGTGACAATTGTTGTGTTTAATCTATGACTACTTTTTGTTGTGCTATATTAATCGGCTACATAACTGTAATTTTTTTTTGCGAAAATTATATTTATATTTTTCTTTAGAAAGAACAAATGTGAACGGAAAGAAAAAAAGGAAGAAAGGAGATTGATAATTCAATGACTATAGTTGAAAGAAAAAGAAAAAATTGAAGAAAAAAGACGTAGAGGAGAAGAACTGAATTGGATCAATCTGGCAAACACGTTATTTTAAAAGAGTTGGGTCTTGGGATTATTATTTAATTGATTGGATTTTTTGGATGAGGTTAGAAATTCATGGTTTAATTAAGAAAAGGTTAGCTGATGTTAAGGGAGGGCAATTTTAATCCCAAAAAAAACGTTGTGGGCAATTTTAACCCAATAGGTGGTTGAAAGGTATTTTTGAACCATTTCTAATAAGTTAAGGGCATTTTTGAACCTTTTCCGTTGGTTTAATAAGATTCACTTAATTAAATTTAGTATCTCATAGAGCCGTCAAAATGGGCTTGGCCCATGAGGCCAGCCCAACCCAGCCCGCTACTTGGGTAGGGCTGGGTTGAGATTGTTTTAGCCCATTTAAAATTGAGGCTTATAAGCCCGACCCAAGTCAGCTCGTTGGCCCTAGAGGCTTGACCGAGGTTGGGCCTGTGCTGGCCTGTGTGCCAAAAATTAATTAAATTCATATTTAAATATTTTAAAAAAGTAAAACCTAAAAAAATATTAACTATAATCCACATTTTCCACCCTTAGAATTCTCATTTATCCTTCAATATCAACTAGAATTTATATTTTTGATATGCATGTAGTATGACAAAATTAGTTTTTCTTTTGCTTAATTAACAACGAACTAGGAAAGTTTTAAGTGGCCAATAGTAATTTTTTTCAAAAGAAATATTACTTTAAGTGGCCATGATCAGTTTGGTTACTTTAATATATTATTAATTATTAAATTTCTCTTCAGTATAGAAAATGTCAAGTTTTAATACCCAAAGAAAATTGAAAAACACTAGCAAATTTCATGAATTTTAAAAATTTCATGGACTATAATGATGAAATCAACAAATAATGTTAAACCTAAATTAAAAAACCTTAACATATAAACTTATCGAAGCACTACCTGAATCTAAGGAAAGTGTAAGAAAAGTATTAAAAAATATTCATGTAACGTTAAAAAAAGAAGAGCTAGAGATATAGAGAATTTGCATTTCAATTACGAGATTCCTTATCAAATATCAATATTTTTGTGCACTCTAAATAAATAGAAGTCGTTCATATAATTAAAAGATTATGTCACGAAAAAATATCTAAAAATTTGAAGAAATATTTTTTCCTAAAAAAGTTGAAGGGCCGGTCCGTCCTAGTTCGCGGCCCTCTAAGGGATGGGCTGGGCTGACCATTTTAAGGCCCATATAGATGGAGGGTCAGCCCGCCTTAGCCCACCAAATTTAAAAGCCCACGAGGCTTGGGCTGGACTGGGCTGGGTTAGCCCGTTTTGACAGCTCTAGTATCTCATACCCTTATCGTACAATAATTATAAAATATTTAATTTTTAATGCCCAAAGTTGCGTAAGTACTAGGCACCCTTTTGCATGGATCGTTTTATTTGATACCTATAAATACTTGTCCATTTAGGGGAAAAAAATATTATCTTTTTTTATATATATAAAAGTTTTGCCGTCTAGTGGCGATGTCCTTTCATATTTTTTCCCTTATTTTAAAGAGAGATACAACACAAGGACTTTTTACGGTGTCACCTATCCTAGCACTATTCTCGCCCTAGCATAATTAAGGAAAAAAGTATTATTTTAATTCCTAATTTTATTAAAGAATTTAAGATATTATTATAAGTCATTATCATTAAAAATATATTCTATTTTTATATATATATAAAAGTTTCGCCATCAGGTGGCGATCCCCTTCCATATATTTTTCCCTATTTCGAAGAGAGATGCAACACGAGGACTTTCCATATGATCCCCCATCCTAATACTACTCTAGCCCAAGCACGATTAGGGAAAAAAATATTATCTTAATTCCTAGTTTTATTAAAGAATTTAAGATACTATTCTAAGTCGTTATCATTAAAAATTATTAATTATGCTTAGTTCTTTATAAAGTACTATTTGATAATCATAGTGTAACTTCTTCATAACTCTCTAGCTTCTCAAAAGCCATGTGAATTAAACATTTCGAGCTTTGTATATAACTAAATCTTAACCTTTGCTAATTGTATTGAAGCCATGATTTCATTAATTTATCAATTATTTTGATTCGTATCTATTAGCTAGACTTGTATGTTGCAATAATTTTAATAACAAAGGCAATAAATATATTTTACGAGCATAATTAATCACAATAAATATAATCTTACTATTGCAACCCCACAAGCGAGTGAATTTAAGAATGTAAAAAAATCAAGTCGGGTTGAATATCGAATATCTGAATTTTAATAATTTCTTATAGCATATTTGTAGTTACTTAACAAATTAAATCAAGCCTAAACGACTACTTAATCATAATAATCACAAAATCGAGTTAATGTCACTTAATTGATGGTAAACATATACTCTTGTTGTTCATAAATCTACCTTGTGCCGGAAGGGGGTTTAGTGAATCGCCAACAATATTCTTGTATACGGTTAAAACCGGGCCTATTCGATTTTACTATTTGATCGAGGCTAGGGAATTGCGTCGAAAGGTCGGCCTCGCAACGGATCAGACCGAGGTACGAGGATAAGGCACCGAGTTCGAGGACCGATGCACCTATCGAAGATTGAAGCCAGTAGCGACCAAGACCAACTGAGACAGAAATCGAGCAAAGCACAATAACAGAAAGACGAGATATCCGTGGTTGGCCGAAGATCGTGGCATAAATCTCGGAACAGATCAAATCAAGGACGATTATTTAGTTAATCATGGGATTTACTTCCGTAATTAGAATTGTACTATAAATAGGATTCCTCTACTATATAAAGAGGGTCCTAATCATTTTGTAACCATCTTACAATGACGCATATCAAAGCAATACAATACTTTCTAGCTTATATTCTTGTTCATTAGTTAGTTTGCTTCTTAACTATTTTGGGCACCGACCAGTTCGTAGGCACTTAAGCTCGAAGGCTGAATCACGTTTCGAGACTGGTTTGTTTTATCTCATTGTTAATTTTTATTGCTAATTGCTACGTTTATCAATTGGTACTAGGTAAAATCACGTGTCCTTCAAACCACATTATAAGTTTAATTGTTATCCAATTTTTAGGGTAGATAATATTAATAAAAAGATAAAATAAAGTATGACCAATATTTTTACAAAAATTATATGTAAAAAATATTAAAAAAATAATTTGAATTAATCAATACTTTTTATGAAATAATAATATTTGCGTCACCACCAAAAGTACTGCTTTAGGTCGCTCTTTGAAGTGGCGTCGCCGTATAGTTGGCGACCCAAGAGAGTCGCCACCGAAAGTAATATTTTTCTATCGACATTTTCGGTGGCGACCCCAAAATAGATTCTGAAATTCTTTATCAGATAATAGGTTATCACTTGTATTCAAAGCGCTCATGTCGATTGTATACATGAGTGTATGCAAAGGATACATCTTGTATTAATGAGAAGTTTTATTTTATGTCTTGTACAACTGACACTAGTTGTATGCAGATTCTTTTTGTCTTATAAATTTGTGGATCCCAATCTTAAACTTCTGGGTCCACAAAACCGTAAGATAAAAAGTTGGCTCATACAACTAGTGTCAATTGTACAAGACACAAAATAAAATTTTCCATCAAGCATCTATACTTATCCTTGTCTGACAGTTAGACAGTAAGCATTTTCAATATTCCACACTTATCCTTACAAGAGAGGTTAGACGGTAAGCATTTAAGATAAGAGGGGTTGCTCTATGGTAAGCAACTCCCACTTCCAATCGAGAGGTTGTGAGTTCGAGTCTCCCTAAGAGTAAGGTGGGAAGTTCTTGGAGGGAAGGATGCCGAGGGTATATTTGGAAAAAGTCTCTCTACCCTGGGGGTAGGAATAAGGTGTGCACGCTATCCTCCCCAGACCCCACTAAGTGAAATTATACTGGGTTGTTGTTGTTGTTATCCTTACACCTTTTTTTCGAAAAGATCTCAGGACTTAGCCGTATATACTAAGATTCTAGTCAAACAATTCTTATCTTTAGCATGTCAGCCTTTAAGATACGAATAACTATGTTTTTATGGATTTAATTTGTATAAATCGGTAGCTTAAAGAATTTTTACACTTTCAATGTCGTTTAAAAGACTATAACGACTTGTAAGGACTTACCTGTCAATGCATTTTTTATCCTTTTAAGTGCCATGATTGTGAAGAAAAACATTATAGTATAAGTAAAAATTAGGCGTAATGGCTTCCTGGCCACTTAAACTTGTACCAAATTTTAAAGCCGATATACAAACTTACATTATTCCCATTTGAACACTTAAACTCACATATCCGATAACTAATAAACCTATTTGACCGTTAATCATGCACATGTGGTAATGACAGAGATGATGTGAACAAAGTGTGTGCAAGTCACGAAAATTACGCGCGTGACTACAATAATTTTGATTTAAAAAAATCTAGAACAAAAAAAAAATACAAATTAAAAAGAAAAAAAAATAAACCAGGCCCACTTCCCCATCCCATTAAAATTCCCTTCACCCTAGTGTTTTTTTCCCCATTGTCGTCCTCCCCCAAGAAATTTCTCGGACGCAAAACCTAATCGAAGATGGAAAAGGAAAATAATCTACCTTTAGATATTATGTCATGCGCATATGCGAAAGTTTTTACACATAAACAACCAAATCAAAACAACTAAGACTAACATCGCGATCGGGACCAAGCTGTTATGGAAACAAAAGTTTATTTTCGTTGTTCTAT